GCCTTTAATCGTCTCCTCAAGCCAGGACGTAGCTTGGGATTGTTTGCGAACGAGGAATTCCCGAAACGCCCTCCAATCATGCTGGAACTTCCCCCGAGAACTCGTTCGAGGAAATATTGAGCTTGGCAGCTGTCCAATCTCTTAATCTGGGATAGAGCCCGAGAATCTGTTGTGGCTCAAGTCGAGATTATTGAGAGATCTGCAGCTAGATGATATATTCATAGCAAGCCAGTTAGAATACGACTACTTCTTGCGTATCTTGAGAACCAATCCAAAATGATCGCTGGGCAAAACCGGAGCTTGAGAAACGATTTCTTCGTCTCCTTCTCAAACGTCAAGCCAGGAATCGGTTTCGTCCCGAGCATCTCACTGCTTTCCACCTCAAAGTCACGGAAATGGTAGAACACTCGATCCAAACGCTTCTGTAGTCTGCTTCCAGTGAGCATGAGATTGGCCTTTGCGTCGTAAATTAGCCCAGGCTGCAAAGACAAACACAAGGTGAATCAAACCTCTGCCATAAAAACGAGAGCAAAAGTTCTCACCTCAGTTGTGTCCATGCGTCCATCCATCCATCCTCGAGAGGAGGCTGGCAGTCTAGCTTGTCGTCCCAGTTCATGTCTCCTCCAAAGACATTTGGCAGCGGCTTGAGCGTTGCGAGCGCCTCCTTCATCTGTGCAACGCGCTCGGCGCTAAACATCTGATCGAATTTCGGGGGCGCTGGACACGCACGAGTAGCTGCGTGATGTTGCCGCAATCGATGTCTGCCGGACAGAGCTCTCTTTCCATGATCGTGTTGTGGAAGGGATTGCGGTACTTGTCTATCGGCAGATTATTAGACTGAATGACTTCCTGTAAGGAAAGAAAGACCTGCCGTGAGGCTGATAAGCTCTCCGATAGTTTCCATTCTTCGCTCCAGCTCGAGATCCTCACGAAACCAGACGCTGGATAAAGTTAAAATTTGTGCGCTCTGTCGTGAGGATTGCCCTGGTTTGTCAGGAGCCGCAGCTTGGATTTCCTTTCTTGGACAATGGCTGTGGCTCGTCCAGTTCTACCTCTTGGAGCTCGGCTCCAAAATCACCTCCTCCTACTGTCACTGATATCTTTGATCACTACTTGACAAGCCCCCGACCCCCATGGGACGAGCTCTTCAACTCTCTGAGGCATTTTAGCTGCCGTAATCCGGCCCAATCGACCGATATTTCGAGGTCATCTAGGCGCTCTATACACATTGCTCAGCAGCGCTTAGTTGATCGCAATCTCATCTTTCAGCGTGGTAATGGCTGGTGGTGTTCACTTTTCTTGACTGTGAGATTGGAACTTTAATTTACAAGAACTGAAAATTGCGTGTAGCGTGGAGCAAGATTCTCAGCAACTCACAAAATACTTGATGTGTATTATCAAGAATTAACACTAAAGAATAATTTTCAAACGAAGTCAATCAAATAATAGAAGAGAGGTTTGGATGACATGTGCGATCTTGATCTGGCCAGAATGATGGTGGAGACGATCAAGAAGCTAGACATACTGGAAAATATGAAAATGAAAGAGGAGCTTCGGATAGTCTCCGCAAGCCAACTCTGGGTCCTGCCGGTATAACATAGCTTGCGGAAACGTAGAGGCCCACCACACAGCCCTGGATTGCTGGCAAAGGACCTAGACGAAAAGTTCCGGCCAAAACTCGTGAAAGATGACGGAATTGTCCCAGTGAACTTGGAGGAGACGTCAAACTTGGTGAGCCGGGGAAGAACTCCAATCTGTCCGGGAATGGGTCCCGAGAATCTGTTGTGGCTCAAGTTGAGATTGTTGAGAAAGGTGCAATTGTTAAAGGAAGTCTCGACAGATCCCGAGAAGGAATTGTTGTGGACGTCAAAGCTGATGAGGTATGGACTGCCGCAAATGTTGGAGGGAATGGTGCCGTTGAGCTTGTTATGTGGGAGGTCGAGAAACGCGAGGTTGGGGCACTTGTCCAGGCCTCGAGAAAATCCCACCTTGCCGGTGGGAAGATCCACGAGTCGAGGAAGTGCATGGGATCCTGATCGAGCTCTTGAACTCTTTGAGACACTCGACGTCGCTCTGGCAAGAAATTACCCCGAGGAGCAGCGCGACGAGCATGCTCGATAATCCGGCCCTCGCCACCTCCATCCTCGCAAAACTGTATTTCGACTTGCGGAATCACCGCAATGCTTTCTAGCATGTGTTCTGGTCCGCCATAGCCATCGATTGCGTGGGTCAAAACCAGGGAATTCGGATGTCACATAGTCTTGCCTGGAATATTGAAAAAATTCTACTTGATTTTTTGTCTACTTGCTCTGGGCGCGCGGACACTAGAATTTGAGGACTTGCTCTTGGCGTGCGGAAGCGCGAAGATTAGAATTCTGATTCTGTTTGTCTATTTGTTCAAACACAAAGGTCGTAGAAATGAGGAATTCTACGTTTTACCTAGCCGGGCTTTCTAGCGCCCTGATAGGATTAGAGACATGCAGCTGATTTTAAGTTCTCTGCTACCTTGCGAAAGAGGATCACAGTGTACAGATTGAAGGTGACCTGAAACGTTTTGATCAAAATCTTCTCAGTCGAATTCAGTGAGACTTTTTCGTAGCTTTTCAGCCATTCGTTATGACTAGAGTCATCAGCACGAATGACCCAGACAAACCTTCCAGTTTGCTTGCGATTGACCGCACTGAGTTGAGCGCTACTCTAAGAAATTTTTGTAAGTCGTCTTTGTGCTTGGAAACATTGTCTTGGATCATATCGGAGAGGATTCATAAATGGATTCTTCGCCTCGTCCTCGCCATCCTAGAGGCTGCTCCGTAGGCACGAAGCCGGTCTTCTTGGGTACTAGCTCCCTCCCCAGCGATTCCTGGAACAAAACATTATTTTCTTCTTTTTAACTGTTCAACTCGAGCCGTTACAAACCTGAAGTGATATGGCTCTGTGAACATTGCAGTCACTTATGGCTCTATCACCATTGCAGTCTTCCTCTCGTCCAGGGCCAGGATTGCCTTGGTGATTTTAACATTGCCTCGTCTCCCCTGACAGGATGTGCTAGTTATCTAGAACATCGGAATTATGAGCGCCCATACAAGGGCCGGACCTCCCGATCTGCTCTACCGGCTCGTAATCCTGGAGCGGCTTGGGACCTGTTACCTCCTGAACCGTGCTCTGGACGTGCTTCTCGATTATAGCGCCAGCGCCTGCGTGAGGCTCTTCATGTCAGTGCCATTCCATGGATCTACCCGATCGCGTCCGGTGCGATCTAGCATAGTATCAATGCAGCGACCCCGGCTGGGGCTTCGAGTTTGATCCACAGGGACCACAACAAAGAATAGGAGTAGCTGAGCCACAAACTCGACAGCCTACATAGCTCCCTCCAGTACGGATATGGAAGCTTTAGTCACGGCATCTTAGAGAGCAAACTCTTGATCGATCCAATTTTGCTCGTTTTCTCTCAGGTGACATGCCTTCTGAATGTGGTACTGCAATCAAGATAATAACGAACGAGGAGATGAGAGCTGCGCTTATGATTCTTGGCAATGTCTAGATGCTTGGGACGATTGTAGCATAGTTTCGTATCAATAAAAACAATCATAGTTTTCACCTTATCCAGACAAATGCATTTTTCACTAAATATATTTATTTTCAAGCTTGTTCAAACCATGTTTGTTCAAATTTAATTAAATATACAGTTTCATATTTGTGAGCATCCATTCTATTGAATTGTGTTGTGACTACATTGGCATTAGGCCTTATGAAATGGTGAGGGTGGTAGATGGCATGGCATCGCCATCTAGAGCTGGAGTGAAGTTTCACACCAAAAAGCAGAGCTTGCTGGAGACGTTACAAGTTGTAACAGTCAAATTTTTGACTGGTGGGAGAACTGCCACTGTGAATTCACGTTTGGAAAAATCAATTAAAAATTCTAATAGAGAAGTTTTACTAGAGATTTACTGAAACTTTGGCTAGAATTCTTATTTGTATGATCTGGACCAGGTCAGGCACCTCAAGCACCCCAAGCTTGGACTGGAGGTCCCACAGAATTATGAATTGACCAGAAAGCCACGGGAGACGTTTTTTGCCTTAGAAGCCTTGAGCAGTCATACTCCTGCTGCTGCCATAGGGAATTCATATAAGCATATATACATAAGAGTGCACGCAAAAATACTTGACAATATTAGTTGAAAGTAATAATCACCACTATACAAATTTGTGATTTACGCCATAAATTTGTTGAGGGAGTTTAAAATGCGCTTACCTGGAAGATAGCTTCCTTGCAGCATAAATAGTGCGTATACCAAGTATGATTGCTCTGCCAGGTTGAAGTTGGCTTCATACTTTTTCTTATAGTTTCCAAAGCCTTGCCTGATGATGAAGAAGTCATAGCCGTGGAGATGTGGTGAAAGCCACCCAAGGAACTTTTAAACTTGAAAAATGGAACGAGAGCTCAGATCATACCTTTGGCAGTAGCGTGCAGATAATTCTCCAAGGGGAGAGAAGATTACCTGGGTATTCTTTTCAATCTCCATTGCCACCTAGAGAACACTTTAGTCTCAACACACTCGGCCCAGCGGCTAGAAAATCCTAGAAATCGAAGCGAGGAGGAAGCAGAACGGAGATTGAGTCCGATAGAGACGCCAAACTTTCGAGAATCGCCTTCAAGCGCATTCTCCGTCAGATCCAGCAATGAGATCCGAGCAGCCCAACCGTTGCCGCGGCCCAGCGCGAGACAGCTGGATCTATGAGCGGCATGAGATCCATGGTCCGCGCAATCCATCCAGCTGCCTCGCGCGTCCGCACGCCCAGAGCAAATCCTCAAATTCCAAAGAATTCTAGTGTCCGCGCGCCCAGAGCAAGTCCTCACCTTCAGTTGATGTTGCCGTGGAGGTCTAAACATTAGACAAAAAAATCAAGTAGAATTTTTTCAATATTCCACGGTCCGCATGCCGTTGAATTCCCGGTTTTGACCGAAGTACGCAATCGGTGGCCATGGCGGACCAGAACACATGCTAGAAAGCATTGCGGTGAATCCGCAGGTTGAAATACAGTTTGCGAGGATGGAGGTGGCGAGGGCCGGATTATCGAGCATGCTCGTCATCGCGCTGCTCCTCAAGGTAATTTCTTGCCAGAGCGACCTCGAGTGTCTCAAAGAGTTCAAGAGCTCAATCAGGGATCCCATGCACTTCCTCGACTCGTGGATCTTCCCACCGACGTTTAGCATCTGCAAGTTCGCCGGGATCTATTGCTTCCATGAGGATGAGGTCGTGTATAAAATCGATCTGCCAGGGCTCGGGCTCACGGGTGGATTTCCTCGAGGCCTGGACAAGTGCTCCAACCTCGCGTTTCTCGACCTCTCACATAATAAGCTCAACGGCACCATTCCCTCCAACATTTGCGGCATTCCATACCTCATCAGCTTTGACGTCCACAACAATTCCTTCTCGGGATCTGTTGAGACTTCCTTTAACAATTGCACCTTTCTCAACAATCTCAACTTGAGCCACAACAGATTCTCGGGACCCATTCCCGGACAGATTGGAGTTCTTCCCCGGCTCACCAAGTTTGACGTCTCCTTCAACCAGTTCACTGGGACAATTCCGTCATCTTTCACGAGTTTTGGCCGGAACTTTTCGTCTAGGTCCTTTGCCAGCAATCCAGGGCTGTGTGGTGGGCCTCTACGTAAGCTATGTTATACCAAATGCTCAGGCAGGACCCGGAGTTGGCTTGCGGAGACTATCCGAAGCTCCTCTTTCATTTTCATATTTTCCAGTATGTCTCGTCTCCACCATCATTCTGGCCATATGATATAGTCAACAAGAATTTATAGGGCGAAGATCAAGATTCCGATGTCATCCAAACCTCTCTTCTATTATTTGATTGACGTTGTTTCAAAATTATTCTTCCAGATTTGTAGTTTTACATATTTTGAAGTATGCTAATGCTTGATAATACAATCAACCATCAAGTATTTTGTGAGTTGATGAGAATCTTGTCGCTCCACGCAATTTTCAAGGTTCATACTCACTGTACCTTGTAGATTAAAGTTCCAATCTCACAGTCAAGAAAAGTCAACACCATCAGCCACCAGACTTTTCCAACGACTTTGCTACGTGAAATCCACGCCGTTGAAAAATGCGCCACACCCACTCTGGGCCGTCGGTGCGCATTTTTCAGAGTAGCGCTAAGAGTTCTGTCGCGCAAGGTGTGTAGAGCGCCTAGATGACCACGAAATATCGGTCGATGGGCCCGATTGTCGCAGCTAAAATGCCTCAGAGAGTTCAAGAGCTCGGTCCAGAAATCCGGGGGCTTGATCAAAGAGATCACAATAGGAGGAGGTGATTTTGGAGCCGAGCTCAAAGAGGTAGCAACAACGTATCTGGAAAGCCCGTGTCCAGCGCCCCCGAAATTCGATCAGATGTTTAGCGCCAGCGCGTTGTACAGATGAAGGAGGTGCTCGCAACGCTCAAGCCGCTGCCAAACGTTGTCTTTGGAGGAGACATGAACTGGGACGACAAGCTAGACGGCCAGCCTCCTCTCGAGGCTGGCTGGATGGACGCATGGACACAACTCAGCGCAAAGGAGGTGAGAAATTGGAAGCACCAAGGCAGTCCAGGCCCTGGACGAGAGGAAGACTGCAATGGTGACAGAGCCATAAGTGACTGCAATGTTCTCGGAGCCATATCACTCACTTGAGGGAACCCTGGTTTGTAACGGCTAAAGTTGAACAGTAATGTTTTGTTTCAGGAATGGCTGGAGCTAGTACCCGAGAAGACCGGCTGAGCAGCCTCTAGGCTGGCGATGACGAGGCGAAGTATCCTCTTATGAATCCTCTCAGATATGATCCAAGACAATGTTTCCAAGCACAAAGACGACTTAAATTTTTTTCTTACAGATCAGTCTGAGTAGAACTCAACTCAGTGCGGTCAATCGCAAGTAAACTGGAAGGTTTGTCTAGGGTCATGCGTGCTGATGACTCTAATGGCTGAAATGCTAAGAAAAAGTCTCACTGAATTCGAGTGAGAAGATTTTGATCAGGTTCCTCAATCATCTTCAACAACGAGTATGCACTGTACACTGTGATCCTCTTTGGCAAGGTAGCAGACAACTTCAAATCAGCTGCATGTCTTTAATTCTATCAGGGCGCAAGAACTTAAGCTCCTGAATTCCCGATTAGATCAAAGCCCGGCTAGGTATAAACCTCATTTCTAGGTGTGACTCCACCACCTTTGTGTTTGGACAAGTAGACAAACAGAATCAGAATTCTAATCTCGCTAGCGCCCAGATACCCAGATCGGCTTGCGAGCAAATGAGACACGGAACAACTCTCACATTCCGCTCGTCTCAGGTGACTGGAACCTGCAAAGATAAAAGCGAAGGTCGCTGCTGGGCTCCATCCCAATCGCGATTTGAGCGGCCACCAAGACAGAGGGGGAAGAATTCATCCAAGCATGAAATCACTCGCTGAGACCAGACCTTGGCGACCGCTGGTTGGCCGGCGCACAACATCAATAAACTATTCCAAGACTTAGACGTCCGAGATGATCCAAGCTCAATCCTCGGGGAAAGTTCCAGCATTGATTGGCGCAAACAATCCCAAGCTACGTGAAAGCAAAGGCCCAGGCAAAGGCTTTTCAAGGCATTTTCATGTTGTCTAGCGTCTCGAGCCATAGAGGCTGTTCTAAGAACGAGTTACCCTTCATCCGACGACTCTGATTGGCCAGATCCTGCGGCTCAATTGTTATACAAAAGCTGGATCTCAGATCCAGGGCCGTGAGGATCCACGCCTCGCAAAGTGGAATTTGAGGGGGGAATTTGCTCTTCTCCGGCCTGTAGACGTGAGGCTAGAAAATCCAAGAAACTGAAGCGGAACATCGATTGAGTCCCATAGACCCATAAGGTATAATCTGAACTTTTTCAAGTTTTAAGTTCCTTGAGTGGCTTTCACCACAGATAGTTTGCTTCATCATCAGGCAAGGCTTTGGAAAAGAAAAATATGAAGCCAGCTTCAACTTTGCAGAGCACACAGGGTGCCCGACCTCGAGGCCGATTTTGGGGTGGCAAAACTTCTCTAATTATTCGAATATTCCAAACTCGGGAATAAAGGTTATGAGTTTAAAGAAGTTTTTATCTCAACAAAAGGTACTAGATTCTTAAAAAGTAATTTCACAATAATAATCCTCAGATTAAAATAAAATCTATTTTAAATCCTAAAGAGCACAAATCAAGAATATCCTTAGAATCCACTGATTTGCAAATCAATGCATCCAAGGAATGCCGACTACTTCTTGCGAATCTTGAGAACCAAACCAAAGTGATCGCTGGGCAAAACCGGGAGCTTGAGCAACGATTTCTTCGTCTCCTTCTCAAACGTCAAGCCCGGAATCGGTTTCGTCCCGATCATCTCGATGCTTTCCACCTCAAAGTCGCGGAAATGGTAGAACACTCGATCCAAACGCTTCTGTAGTCTGCTTCCAGTGAGCATGGGATTGGCCTTTGCGTCGTAAGTTAGACCAGGCTGCAAAGAACACACGGTGAATCAAAACTCTGCCATAAAAACGAGAGCAAAAGTTCTCACCTCCTTCGCGCGGAGTTGTGTCCATGCGTCCATCCAGCCATTCTCGAGAGGAGGCTGACCGTCTAGCTTGTCGTCCCAGTTCATGTCTCCTCCAAAGACAACGTTTGGCAGCGGCTTGAGCGTTGCGAGCGCCTCCTTCATCTGTGCAACGCGCTCGGCGCTAAACATCTGATCGAATTTCGGTGGCGCTGGACACGGGCTTTCCAGATGCGTTGTTGCCACGACCAGCTGCGTGCTGTTGCCGCAATCGATGTCCGCCAGGCAGAGTTCTCTTCCCATGATCGTGTTGTGGAAGGGATTGCGGTAGAACTTGTCTATCGGTAGCTTGCTAAGCTGAAAAGGAGAAGATACGCACTTGAGACTAAGCAACAGAATGAACGCGAGCGAAAGCTTCACCTGAAGGCAAAAGTAAGCTCGCTTTGCCGCGAGCTCTGAGCTAACCGAGCATCTGTATCCACTCCACCAGTTCGATCGCTGGAAAATAGCATAGATACTGGTAGTAACTTCCTGTGAAAATCACTTATCAGTAAGGAGATATATGAACCACCAAAGAAATACCTGGAAACATATGACGTGAGGTTGGTGCTGTCTGATAAGCTCTCCGATCGCTTCCATTCTTCGCTCCAGCTCGAGATCCTCACGAAACCAGACGTTGTACGTCATAAAAACGATACTGTCGCTGACAATGTTCTTGGAAGTGGAAGAAGTTGACACACCTAAAGAAGAAAAGCAGTGAAAGTTTGTAAACGATCAAGACCTCATACATACCAGCAGAAGAAGCTATGGAGTTCTTCCTCGACATTCTTTCCATATGGAGCTCGCGAAGGAGAGCGTTTGAGGACTGCCCTGGATTGACAGGAGCCGCGGCCTGGCCTTCCTCTTCCTCGGACGATGGCTGTGGCTCGTCCACTCTCTGCCTCTTGGAGCTCGGCTCCAAAATCACCTCCTCCTCTTTTGCCGTGATCTCTTTGGCCACTACCGGAGGGTCTTGATCCAGGGGCTTCTCAGTGTCACACATACCGCAGCGAGGCATCGATCCGGGGCTGAGAAACGTGCACGCCGGGCAGTTCCACGAATCCAGACCCGGCATTTCACTCGCGGCCTCTTCCTTCCGCGGTTGCTCACAAACCGCGCACGCATCGCCGGCGCTGTTGAGAAGCGTGCATCGGCTGCAAGTCCATTCCATGACCGAAAGCGTCGGCCGCAAGGGAGCGATCGAGACGATCGCGAGCGGCGCAGGAGGCGGCGGCGGATCGCCAGATGTAGAGAAGGAAATGCTACACTTGCAGATCGATACCTTGCGCGATGGCGGTGGCGGCCATCCCCGGAGAAGAATGTGAAGAACCCTAAACCGCTTGAGCCCCAAACCCGCCATGGCTTTTAAAAAATTTCTTGTTTGCCCTGGAGAAATTTTGAGAAGAGGATCTTGGCTATGGCGCTTGCCGCCGCCTGCCACGCATCCATCCCTCCTCTGTGGAATCCTCGATCCGCCGCTCCAAATCTCCTTCCGCCGTTCTCGAGGATCGTGATCAGCACCAGGGCTTCCATTCCCGCGCATTCTTCACAGGTTCTTCGCGATCTCGCCAGCGGCGGGCTAGAGGAGCTCCTCCTCGTCCGGCAGGCTTGTGAATCGGAGCTCTCGGCGGCCGCATTCTTGCGCGCAAGGTCATTCTACAGCTATCCCGAGGGACGCTCCATCGCAGCACAAGAAGTAAGTCTAGAAATATCTCTTCTTGATCATTTCATGGTCGATCGATAGCAACGCAGCCTCTTTCTTTCGTAGATTTCGAAGAGATCTTTCCTCTCTTCACAAAGATTTTCTCGATCGTTTCTCTCTAACGATTTTTTCTTTGTTTCTTCACAGGCACACCAAAAGTATATGGCCTCCCTCGAATTTAAGACTCTTTCCTCCAAGATCGCTGGAACCGAGGATGGTTTCGGTCGTGTGGCGTGCGTAGTCGCGCTACTTCCACTCAAAGATTTTCCTCCTTCCACAGACGAGATTCGCAAAGCTTGCAAGGTAAACTCTTGGTTGTTTTATACTCTTTTTTTGTCTTGGGTGACTGATAGCTCTAGGATAGATAGACCGATAGATAGATGATAGATCCATCTATCTATCTATAATCTTTTCTTTTCCTTGGGTGGCTGATAGCTCTAGGATGATTGAGTGATGATATAGGTGACTGTTGCTGGCCAAGATCTCCTTGTTGTTGGCACACTTGATGTGAATCGAGGTCGACTAATACCCGGTGAGATATCTGGCTCTCGACCAAAGGTAAGAACCTTTCTTTCCATCGTGTATCAAGTTTTCTACTGTTTTTTCTAGGACTCTGATCCAGCATACAAGCGTGCCTACATTTCAAACTTCTGCGTCGCTCAAGAAGCACGTCGAAAGGGTGTAGGCACGGCTCTAGTTCGCGAAGCAAAACGGACTGCCAGAGAATGGGGTACTGAAGAGCTTCTCGTTTTTCCAGACCTTTGACGCCTTGGCTGCTACAGGTGTGAGTGATCTTTACGTTCACGTTGTGACATCCAACGAGCCGGCTTTCAAACTTTACACGAAGTCTGGCTTTGTTTTCGAAGCCGAGGAGACTCCAGCGGAATCACACCTTCTTGGTCGACCTCGAAGAAAGCTTCTGTGGTTTGATCTTGGTACAGTGTAGAAATTTTTTCGCAAGCGAGTTTTTCTTTCTCTCACTTATCTTCCAAAGCAGGTCTGGAGTTCGAATCGTGAGGGTGCGAGGGCTATCGCTTGCGATGACTATGGCGATGGCTTGGCCGGGAGTGGGCATTCAGCCGTGCGGACCTTCTCAGGTGAATTTGGGTTGCTTTTCTACTCAGAGAGGAAGCTTAGTGCTATCAAGAAGGCAACGGAGGATGCTTTCCTTGAGAGCTTCAGCCTCGGACGACGCTGCTCCCTTAGAAGAAAACGCTGAAACTCCCAAGGCTGTGGGAGATGAAGAAGACTCGAAGGATGCCCAAGAAGAGACTCCCGAGCCCACGAGCAGCGTTTACTCGGACAATCTATCCAAGGTACGAGGAATGTTTGTTTATCCAACTTTGATCTTCTTTTTTTTGTTTTGGCCAGAAAGATAAGCTGGCTATAAGGTCCGCAGGCAAGCAGATATTGTCGCTACGATTTCTTTGGATGGAGAAGAACATTGGAATTGCCTTGGATCAAGTTGTGCCGGGCCATGGTACAATTCCACTGTCGCCGTTTTACTTCTGGCCCAAGAAGGATGCGTGGGAGGAGCTCAAAGCCAAGCTCGAGAGCAAGCCGTGGATCTCACGAAGGCGTACAATTATCCTTCTCAACCAGGCCACCGATATCATCAACCTTTGGCAGCAGAAGGCTTCGAGCTTCTAGAAGTAGAGGGCCATTTCATTTTTCCCACTTAAAAGCAAAACCTCTTATGTCAAGTGATTGGAAATGTGGCAAAACTGAGTGGTGAGAGAGATCAACCAAGTGCTTCAACTCCTCATAGTATAAATTTTACGCTCTCAAAGAAGATTGCATCAGTAATATATATTTAATAAACATTTTAGAAACTATTTCCTTTTGTGATCCTTAATATATCCTTTATGATATTAATAATTAATAGATAGCTTTTCACTTACTAATGTTTAGAGAGGTGATAAATGTTGATTTTTTATTTTTAATTTTCTTTAAACTTAAACTAATAGTCCTCCTAATTAAAACAATATTACTGCTTGAGCATTATTGAGTGTTATTTGGAGTTATTTGTTTCTATTTTAAAAAAAGTATAACTTTTTTTAAAATTAATAAAAATTAATTAACCAATAAAACATAACTGATTTAACTTATAAAGATATTTATAAGCATTTTATTTTATATACTTGGTTATATGTTAATAACAAAGATAAAAACAATAAGTAAATAACAATATCCAAAATACTGAAAAATTATATGTGAAATAAATATTAGTGTGCTTTAAATATAACTAAAAATAACAACATTCAAACATTTGAAGCTTAAATAATTTTTCAAAATAATTTATCCCTTTGTAAAATTATAAATATATATATTTGAATACTGTAAAATTTGTAAATATATAAATATGTATATACATGTATTACCTTGCCTAGGTAATACACAAATTATAGTACTAAAGCATATGGATTGTTAATTTGGGTGGTCCATTCATTCTTGTATATAAGCAAGGGTTTAAACAATAATTAATATATCTATTTCTATATTTTACACACTCACATCAATGGAAGTGAGACACACTAGAATTTGTTCTTGAAGGACAAAGCTTTTTAATAATGCTTTGCTTTAGTATTTGGGATCTTGTTTTTTGTTTTCATTCATTTATTCTTTCTTAGATTTAAATCTATATTAGCCTTTTGCAAGATAACTTGTAGAATAAATTTTACAAATACTAATATTTTAAAATATTAATTGAATTATATATATATATATATAACTAAAAGATAGTAGAAATAAAACCTTTTCTCACTTTCAAATAAGATGTTTCAAAGAACAGTTGACATATAAAATTCTAAATTTAAAATAGTAAAACATAAAAGTATATATATTTTATAAACTCTCCCATATATAGTTGTTAAAATAATTTTTATTACAAATTTCTAAATGTAATATATATATATATATATATATATATATATATATATATATATATATATATATATATATATATATATATATATCACTTTATAATCTATAAAAGGTTATTTACTGTGATTTCATTCTTAAAAATGGTTAATGAAATCTAGACGTGTGCGAATTTAAATTTCAAAACAAATATAAAAGATAATAATTAGGTAGTATTAAATTTTTTTATCTTATAAAACAATATTAGATTAATAACAATTTCAAAATGGTTTATAAACATATTAATTATCAATCATAAATAATAAAGTAAATTATTTTGTATAAAAATATTTTTTAAACTAATTTAATATTTACATAAGCTTTTATATGATATTTTATTGTATAAACATACTTTCATTTTTATTTATAAGTAAAATAATGGAATGTATATTATATAGAAGCATAAGTAACTAAAGATAAATTTTTAAAAATAATTAAATATTTAATTAAGAAAAAAATTTAGAAATGATTTATTAAATTTTAATACATACTTAATTTGAAAATTCATTTTTTATAAGAATGATATTTTAAAACATATTTAAATGTAAATAATTTTTTATTTAAAATTTTGAGATTGTAATTATAAAATGTTATGTTTTAATATTTAAGTAGGGTATTGTAATGCTTGATGATCCAATTTTTAGCACTTAATAAAAATAAATGACTAAATAAAATAAATAATCTTGATATTGTGTGTGTTCAAGATATAGGAATAGGTATATTAATTTGGGTTTAGACCCCTGCTTATATACAAAAATGGATGGACCAAATTTAGTCCTAAATTTACGGTCGATATGCCTTAATACTATAGTTAGTGAATTACCTAAGCAAGTTAATACATGTACATACATATATATATTTACAAACTTTACACATATGAGTGTTTGGTATATAGAAATAAGTATATTAATTTGGTTTTAGACCCCTACTTATATATAAGAATGGATGGACCAGATTCAATCCCAAGTTAACAGTTGATAATTAGTATTAATGTTAACTATAATTAGTGTATTACCTAGGCAAGGTAATACATGTATCTATGTATATATATTTATAAACCTTACACCATCCTCCCCTCTGAAAGATAAAAAGATGATGATAATAAGTTAGGTGGAACATCTAGAGATTTTGTTGGGTAATTATAAATTACCATAAGAATCTAAAGCTCTACAAAACCACTAACAAAGTTGTTGATAACTATGACTGAAATAAAACCCAAAGCCATAACATAAATATTAGCCAATTACGGAGTCTCAGTGAATCAATTACAATTTTGTATACAGTTCCCAAATGCTCAAACCAACCACATAACTATAACTTTGAACTAAAGCAAGGGATATTGAGAACCATTATAGTTCATAAAACACCATTATAACAAATAATACATCTTATTTCTAAATTTGTCTGTCGACAATCCTCCAAGACCACCATTAATTCAAACTTAAGACCATAAGCAGAATAACTATTGTCCTCATTTAGCATCGCATATAAAAGGTTGGACTCATTTTGTTCGTCCTTTATATCCTCCTTATCCCTTCCTTGAAGGAAAAAAATTCTGAAGCACTAGCTCTATTTGGACTTGCTACGCTTATCCTCTCTTTGCTATTTATGTTTAGATTATCACATTTGTTCGGCTTCACTATGTCTATAGCACATATGGTTTTTACCCTTTTTACCCTTTATCTTATGTATAGGATAATTATGAAGCAGAATCTAAACTTTCTATATGCTATATGCCACATGTTTAAAGGACAATAAAGTGGAACATAAGTTTCAAGACTTTGAGCCACTAAATGAAGGAATAGAGCTAAACTCCTAAGCATGGAGCCGAGGAACACGGAGTAACTCTTAAGCATACAGCCCAAGGAGTGAAGGGAGAAGAGCATAGTTTAACATTTCAATGCCAAAACTAGCACACAAAATGAAGTCAAATGAAATTTGGTGTTATTTCAACATACCGGTGGTTTAAGTGAGGATATAAGTACTCCATTAGCTAGTATGGTGTGAAACTTAGGCTTTGACTCAATCCAGACGCAAAACAAAGATAAACACAAAAGTGAGAGTTAAACTATGCCCAGATAGGACTGCCATACCTAATTTACCCACCTCTATTATACATTTGGAACCACTCTGGCCCCCCCCTCCCCCCCCCCACACACACGCTTTGGGCTTTCACCCTTAGCCATCTTTAGTACTAAGTGTTAGTCTCTAGGACTAACTTGAATAATAAATTCATAAAATTATATATAAATTAGATATTCCTTTAAGTTTTTAATCAAAATCAAGTATAGTTTTATTAGCAACAATAATAATAATGGAAACTAATTTTAACTTATAAAATAAATACTTGAAATTTCAACTATTAAAACTCTCAAAGTATTATTTTTAATTTTAGGTGGGAAGGTATGTGGAGGAATGCTTGGTGATGTACTCTTTTTTTAGTTGAGTTAAAAATTATTTTTCTTTATCATATTTTAATTACATAAACTTTTCATATTTGCTATTTTTTTCATGATAGAATATAACTTTTCCATCATTAATATATTTTTATATTTTTAAATTCTATCAATTTATTTCACTCTTTCACATTCCATTACAATTATCAAAATCACCATACTATCATGCACCATAGTAAATAATATAACCCATGTAAATTGAAGACAATTTAAATTTTAGATACTGTAATCTGAATACTTTGAACTTTTAATTTTAGTCAAACTTTTGTTAATAAGGAAAGGACCTTTTATATAGTTAGAAATTGTCACAAAAATCTCGAGAAGGAATGTGACAATGGTGCATGCGTCCATGCTCACAATCATGAGCATATGGGCCACATGGTCCATACCGCCCGCAGTACAATCAATCGGGGCCACGAGGAAGAGAATGAATGGCCAACGACAAGCCCCTGTACGGCAGAGATTCCGGAAGATAGAAAGGAGAACCTCTCCATTGTTTTATGTTGTTTTCCACCGCTGGCCGAGAAACTTTCACGACTATATGTTGCGATTCCAATGTTGGTACAGGAAAAAAAAAGAATTCTCGTTCACTTGTGAGTGAGAGGCCCCACCCTCTCCCCCCTGGAGAGAAAATTCGTCTTTCCGTACAGCCATGGGGTTACGTTCCATGCGAGCTGGGATGAATCAGTGGGATCATTCGTAAGAGACAAGCAAAGCAAAGCAAGCCTCAGCTTTTGGCACCTCTCTCGAGACAACGTGGTCATAGAAATTTCTAGACTGTACGGACGAGACCACTTAAGCTATGGTTTTGGGCGATCTTATGAGCTTGATCGCCCTGTCCGACTCGGGAGTTTATTTCGTATCTCAATGAAAGCCAAAAGAAGAGAGGACTGTAGTAAATGTAGCCACTGGCATGGTTTTTATTGGAGGAAAAAGGACAGTGGTCGTGCAAATCGCTAAGCATGAGATGGGGGGAATGGAAAGATCAAAAGTTTGGAGAACTCTATGCTTAGTTTGGTGAAGTGTTGCTGTTTCTCGTATTGATTGATCGATAGTAGACAGTAGGTGGGTATTGCTGGAGCTGTATAAAAGTACCTATCATCACAAGCAAAAGAACAAGCTTGGACGACCAAGCTGTGTATCATATCCAAATCCAACGAGGAAGAAATTGTGGAGAAATACGCATATTTCTTATCAGCTTTTTCCAGAGGAAAAAGAGAACAAAAGCTCCTCGTTTTGACAGTGGTTTTTTTTTCTCTCTCTCTCTCTTTTCCTGGTCCAATCCGAGTTGAGCGAGATGGAAAGAGACCTCGTCATGGCGTTTCTCATCTGCCTCGTCTTTGTCTTTTATTCTCAGGGAAGAAGAAAAGAGAGAGAAGAGCTATGGAGAGAGATGGAGAAAACGGGGTTATAGGCTATAGCTATCCTATACTACGTCCATAGAAAATACATTCTTTCACTCTTCCCATCTAGCCGATCGATCCCTCTTTTCTCGTCCTCCCGAGAAGCAATCGATCGAGATCAAACTATAGCTCCTCATCTGTCATTCTCTCCTCGAGGAGCTCCATCGCTCGGACCTCGCTCCTATGCTCCTCTCAATACCCCGGAAAGCCACAAAGATGAGTTTTTGCTTTCCCTCTTCGCTCGATCGAACAGCCCAATAGAGCATCCTCGCTCGACACCGAGGATCACAATGTGGGAAGGTCTCTTCTTTGCTCCTAGAGTACACTTGTTCTAGCTCGTAGAGATTTGCAGCAGTCGTCATAGATTTCTAGACATGGGTCTCCAATCGCTGGTGGCTCTGGCGACGCACACCGGCGAGAACAATAGCTACACCGAGGTGGAGAAGGACCGGCAAGAACAAGATGGGCTTGTGGATAACTCCATGCGAGCTCTCGCCAAGAAGTTCCTCTGGCACGGTGGATCCGTCTACGATGCTTGGTTTAGCTGCGCCTCCAACCAGGTGAGTAGTGAGAGCTCAAAGAACACTCCTTTCTTGCTCTTCTTGCATAGCTTCCCCGCGTTTGCTTCGATTCCTTCCAGTCGCAGTATAAAAACCAAAGATCACTCCTTTCTTATTGTTCTTCCGTAGCTTTGCAAAAACCAAAGATCACTCCTTTCTTGTTCTATAGCTTCCTCGCCTTTGCTTCGATTCCTCCACTTTCAGTATAGCGAACACCAAAAAGAAACCTTTGTTCTTCTTCTTCCTTCGTTGTTTGTCGGAACTTACTTGTTTTTCTCTTTTCTTCTCCACAGGTCGCACAGGTGCTTTTGACGCTGCCATACTCTTTCTCGCAGCTGGGCATTGTGTGGGGGGTCACCTTCCAAGTGTTTTACGGGCTTTTGGGCTCCTGGACTGCCTATCTTATCAGCTGCCTCTATGTCGAGTATCGGGCTCGCAAGGAAAAAGAGAATGTCAACTTCAAGAACCATGTCATCCAGGTAGAGTTATGCTAAAGTTTAAAACTTTTTTCTTTCTTTTCTTCTCTTCTGGCTGTTTGTGAGAAGGCTTGGAGAGTTTAGCTGTAGAACTTTGAGAGCTCCAAGACTTCTTCCAAAGTTCCTGTAGCTAGAACGTCGAGAGTTTGTTCTCGCTGCTAAAAGAGTGATATTTGTTCTTGACAGTGGTTCGAAGTTCTCGATGGTCTCTTGGGACCATACTGGAAGGCCGCTGGATTCACTTTTAACTGTACATTTCTTCTCTTTGGCTCGGTGATTCAGCTCATTGCGTGTGGAAGGTAAGCTCAAGTTCAAGTTCTCGAGAGAAGGAAACAAAAAAGAAGAGAGAAGCAAGTTGGTTCTTCACTGGCACTAACATCTTCTCCCCTTCTTTACAGCAACATATACTACATAAGCGATAGATTTGACAAGCGGACATGGACGATTATCTTTGGAGCTTGTTGCATGACAACGGTGTTGGTTCCATCGTTCCACAACTATAGAATTTGGTCCTTCCTGGGGCTTGGAATGACAACTTACACGGCTTGGTACATGACAATCACTGCTCTCGTCCATGGCAAGGTGAGAGAAGCATCTAAAAAAGCTCCACTGGATGATAAGCTTGTCTCGTCAAAGTTTGCTGTAGAACTAGAATTATCTTTCATTTATCATGGGATAGATTTTAAACTTCTTACATAGGCGTGGTCTAACATCAATAATTCTCACACTTCTTCACTTTTGCAGGACCCAGGTGTAAAGCATTCGGCCCCAAATAATCTCGTCCAATATTTCACTGGAGCCACCAACATCTTGTACACCTTTGGTGGTCATGCCGTCACTGTGTAAGTCGATCATGATTCTCACGGCACCACTTTGCTTGATCCTACGATATCATTCCATCGATTCCCTCCTTTTTCTTTCCTGTTCTTCCTGCTCAGATCAAATCATTCCCTTCCGGATCAAATCAAGTTTTTTCTTACTTCTTTTTGCAAGACCAGATGATATAGCTAAGTTTGTGGTTTTCTTGCAGAGAAATCATGCATGCTATGTGGAAGCCTTCAAAGTTTAAGTCAGTTTACCTCTTCTCAACCTTGTATGTGCTCACCTTGACAATACCATCTGCTACAGCCGTGTATTGGGCTTTTGGCGACGAGCTTCTCCACAATGGCAACGCTCTAGCATTGCTTCCAAAGAACGTCTTCCGAGACCTCGCCGTGGTTCTCATGCTACTCCACCAGGTAAGAAAGATCATCGTTCTTCTCACTATGAACTATGATCTTCGTTCCTGGAGCTAAACTTCCCATCGTCTCGCAGTTTATTACGTTTGGATTCGCTTGCACGCCCTTGTACTTCGTGTGGGAGAAGATAATTGGCGTTCATAGAAGTCCAAGGTTCCTACTTCGAGCAGCTGCCCGGATCCCTGTCGTGATCCCGATATGGTTCATGGCAGTCATATTCCCATTCTTCGGGCCTATAAACTCCGCCGTGGGCTCTCTACTCGTCACCTTCACAGTCTACATCATTCCTTGCCTCGCACATATGCTCACTTTCAGGACTGCCTTTGCACGAGAGGTACGCACTTAAATGCTTTTCCACTTTATCTCGTGGACGAATCTACGAACTTGTAGCTAGCTACTGTTCATCCTTTTCGTGTGTTCTAGTGTTCACATCAGGACTGATGGATCGATCCTTGGTTTTTTTTGTTTGTCAAACAGAATGCCGTGGAGAAGCCTCCTTTTATAATGCCGAGCTGGGCGGCAGTCTACGTTTTCAACTTTTTCGTGGTGGTGTGGGTGTTCGTTGTGGGCGTCGGTTTTGGGGGCTGGGCCAGCACCGTGAACTTCGTCCACCAGATCAAAACTTTTGGAATCTTTGCCAAGTGCTACCAGTGCCCCAACAACAGTCATCGCCACTGATCATTCATAAGATCTCTTGTCAAGCAAAACATCCACGACAATGAAGTGTACAAACTGGGAAAAAAGAGGGATTTTTACAAGATGGTTGGTGATCGCATTATATACTTTTTTTTTATAAAAAATGGTTCTAGAGCGTGGAACCTCAGTGGTGATTACCATGGATTCTAAGATATCCTCGAGAGACTTTGCACTCTGACTTTGTCATGCATGGCCTCTCCTTTCCATTGATCTTCGCGCACTCCAGTGCCAACTTTACTGCCCGATACAAAGGCTCCGGTTTCAAAGGAAGTGAAAGTCTTGGATCCAGCACCGAGTTCCACTCGTCTTGTTCGACCAGCTCAATCGCCCATCTTTGAAGATCAGCATAAAACTTTCTATTGCCTTCTTGCCAGAAAGTAGCTCCAGAAGAACCACCCCAAAGCTGTAGACGTCGCTCTTTATGCTCAGTTTGACGGAGTAGCCATTGCACTCGGGATCCAAGTAACCCGATTTGCCTTGAGGTTCGTCTAACGATAGTCCAAAGTTTGACACATGAGCATTCCACTCGTTATCAAGGAAGATGTAGGCTGCGTCCATATGAATGATCTTGGGCCTCGCGCAAACCTGTGCAGCTATCATCCTTGTCCCATAACTCTAAAAGTGCCGGACAGTTGGACATGAACATATTGTCACAAAGCGTCCTCAAAGACTTCCTCAATGCAAAATCCAACCAATTATACTAGACAAGAGTGGTGATTTCTGGAAACAAACGTTTCTTCAAAGAGTTTACAAGTAATAAAGAATTACCTTTTAGAAATACTGCCCATTTTCACGTCTCAAAGGAACCTCTTCGCTGTGGCTGCAAAGTCTTCAAAGGTTCTTGTGGAAGTCTTTGAGGACGGTATATGTAACTGTTTGAAGAGGTTCCTGTTTGAAGACCTGAGGTTTGAAGACTTTAAAATGAGTTTCGCTACTAACTTCAGCTTTAATCTCCATTGCACTGCTGGGCTTTCTTTTCCAAACATAAACCCAAATTCCTAAGAGAACGACACCAAAGACGAACATAGCAACAGTTACATATACTGTCACCTTGATGATTGTTTTCTTCTTCCTCACAACTTCCTCCTGGGAATTCTTATATTTCAGGAAAAGAGGCGAGCATGCGCATTCGGAGTCTAGAACACTCCCAGTCCCACATGTGGAACACTCCAAGAAAACTTTGTCTGAAAACGATGGAGACAACACCTTCAACGTAGAATTGAGCTCAAACTGGTTCTTCCCACACTCGCTTGTGCACATTCTAGCACTACCAAAGTCTAGCAATGGTTCACTAGTCAGCCGAGTTCCCCCAGCAAACAGCCCTGCTGAAATCACTGAAAACTGAGTTTCGGAAGGAGCCTGGAGTTGCGCTAGACCATCCTGACCCCAGCATACCACCCCGCGGACACACACATGGTACAGTCACGTAAGAAAACCTGTAACCTGAAGGAGCAATGGAAGAAGCCGAATCAAAGCTTGGCAACCCGCATATCGTACGAGATCCCATAGACACCGACGCGAACTTGTGAGGTTGATTGAATGGTTGCTTGATCTACAGCACCCCAGCAATGTACCTCTCCTGCCTGAGAGACACAAGAGGCTGGATGAAACCGAGAAAAACTCTAGCTCAGAGCTTGGAAACTCGTCAATCGCCCAGCACTCAACCCCATTGTCGTTTTTACTAATCGCATGATAGGCACCGGAGCTCAAGCTTACATAGCCTACATTCTTGAACTCAGCATATTGCGAAGTGAGAACCATACGCAAGCCCGCATGCGAATCGAGCGCCTCCTGAGATGGCAAAGAATTGCCTGTCTAGTGGTGGAGAGAATTTCTTGTCGTTAGAGATCTAGCTTGCAATACACACAGAGAATAAGAACCTTGGCTTGGAATAGGGAAGTTAATCCACACGGAACTTAGCTTATACCTTGAGAAGAGCTGATTAATGTAGGTAGAACCAACAACCACTAATCTAATTTGTAGAATATGGAACCTTCGTCAAGCATATCGCGACGATCTCTTGCAAAGATCTCTTATGGACAAATTGGTTGTATCAATAACTGAGGTGCTACAGCGTCCATGTAAAAACAAAGAGGTTTGGAGCTTTTACCTTGGATGATTTCGAAAATTCAGAACTTCACAAGTTTTCGTTATTGTGGCCGGCTTACATATGGCACGTAAAGATTTTATGTTCGTAGTTTGTTTCTTTCATTGCTGTAGCTTTATCATGAACTAACATTTCCACAGTGTGCCAAAAGATCTAACATCGGCGAGCTCGGACAGAGTTGCGTGACAATGGGATAGATCGGTTTTATAAGAGGCTAATGATCCATTCGATGTAAGATGTTGCTCCAGTTCCTATTCCTTACACTTGAACTCGTATCGACTGATACCATTGCTTTTGGCAGCTCAATTCGATCTGACAATGCTAATCTAACATATCATGGAGGAAGGCTCATGGTTGATCCGATCACGATCTACGTTACTTGGGTTGGCCCCTGGTCGGAGAACTCCAAAGGAGCTCTTCGCAACGCCATCCGATCTCTTTCTTCCTCGGATGATCACAGACCTTCAGAGCTCCCGACCTTGTCCGGGTGGTGGAAAATCGCGACGCAGTACAATGACTCCAATCAAAGGCCAGTTTCTAGCAAGATCTCCTTGTCGACAACCGAGTGCTATGTCAGTATCGCCAACGCGTCAGTCGAGCTGATAGAATCCACCGTCTCGAAGCAATGCAGCGATGTTCTTCCGGAAGACCCAAATGGGATCTATCACGCAGTCGTCGGCAGCGATCTGGACAGCACGGGAGTCTACAAATGCTTTGGGAAATTTGAAGGGAATGGTGGCGGAAGAACTTATCTCTTTGCTCGGCAGCCGAGAGAAGACGAGTACTGTAACTTATGGCGTCGGTTTGGAGGACTTGCGGAGGCACCGAATGGTGACACAGGTTTGGACTCGTTGATCAGCAGAGTTCTAGCCAGCAGCGCCGAGAGAGCTACAAACATCGACACGATCGGCTGGAAGGACGATTCCGGAGGAACTATCAGCTCCTTGTGTCCGTCTCCAACGGGACTCACCGATGGAAACAGTCCCGTGATCGAGGAGAATGGCGTGAGCTGGAACTTGGTCGGGATAAATGGCTCACGGTTCCTCGTCCAGCAACTTTGGAGCCGAGAGAACAGCAATTGTGCTCTCCAGATCATTGGTAAGTCGTGGCCATGAGTGTGCATGCATGAATGATTTCACGTTGTTTGCTTGTTCGTACAGCGAAATGCCGCTCCATCAAACCGGTTGACAAGCCAAGAGGCCTGATAAGCGAGGGCTTGATCGTCAACCACAGCGTTGGCTTGCAACCATATCCTCCTGCAAGGAATTGCCTGTGGCTCCTAGACGTTCCAACAGCGAAGATCTTCCGTGTGACCGTGAACTTCATGGTTCTAAGCATCACAGACAAGCTCAACTTCTACGAGTGTCCCATATTGCCGCGTGCTTCCGGCCGAGTTGATAGTTGCGAGGTGCTAAGATCCATGACTGGTGCTAGCTCTCGGATCGTCCTTCCGGACTTCGTTCCCACAAACTTGATACTCGAGTTTAAAACAAGCGCGGACGAACAAGCGGCTGGTTCTCTGGGCTGGGAGATCGAATACAAAGCTGGTAAGAACATCATCTTCTAGTTTTGTTTCTGGAAGAAGAAAAAAGCTCTGTTTTTTTCGTCCTCCAGGATTCTGCAATGGAACCACTGTGGCCTCCGCCCGATCGGGCTCTATATCGGATGGAAGTCCCGAGGGATCGAAGTACTTGGGCTTGCGCGAGTGTAGGTGGGTCTTAAACGCGAAAAAAGGCACCGAAGTCCGGCTAAAGTTCACTCGTTTCGACACGATCCAAGGCCGAGACGTCCTCACTGTCTATCAAGGAAACGACAAGCTCCGGGGCTCCATCTTGGAAAGCTTCTCGGGACGCTACTCCATTCTTCCAAACCGGACGTATAGCGGGCCAGTGTTGCTGGTTTTCACGACCCAAACCGGTGATGGCGATGGCTGGGCCGCGAACTTTGAGATGGATCATCCAGAATCGGAGTCGCAGCGTCGATCTTCCAGGAGAAACTTGGTCGCAATTATCTCTGGAGCGTCGTGCTTGATGGGACTCTCGTGTTTGCTCTGTGGAGCGTGCTTGATCCGGCGCTCTTATAGTGAAACTACTGCTAGTGAAACTACTACTAGAAATCCATGTAATGTCATTCTATTTTAACCAAATAGAGTTAGGGTTTTACAATGGCAGCTTCGTCTCCCCCGGCTCTGCGATGGCGCCTTCTCAAGCGATCGCTGCTCCGCTCGAAATCTGGTATGTTCTTGAGCTGGATCGGCTCCCACATTGTCCAGACTTGCAATGCCGCAGATGAGATTGACGAGGAGGCTGCGAGGGTATCCAGAGTCCCGTCCGGGAGCTTTGGCCTGATCGCGAGCCGCTGCGTGGAAGATAACGAGGAGATCGATGGTATTCTGTGGGAGTACACGCTCCCGGATGAGCGGACGACTGCATTGCTGATGAGGTTTGGAATTTTTTCTCGATCGCTTTGTTTGTTCTCATTGGTGAATTTTCTTCCTGTAGGCAATCACGCAGCGGCCAGTTTAAGCTTAGCGATCATTCGAGCTGTAGAGAGCTCGGCATTGACAACACTGGTGTTATTTGTAAGTGGAGATTTCTATTCTTTTTCTTAAGTGAAGATCACAAGCTTTTCATAGGTTTGTGGCCAGCTGAAGAGATTCTTGCTTACTATTGCGTTTCACGACCGGAAATGTTTAGGTACGTGATATCTCGCTCTTCCATTTCTTTTTCCATCCAATTCCAATCTGTGGGTAGCGTTTGGATTGACAGGAACAAGAGGATTATAGAACTTGGTGCTGGATATGGATTAGCGGGACTAGCATTGGCAGCTTGTACCGATCCTGCCGAAGTTTTAATCACGGATGGCAACCCGAAGGTTGTGAATTGTATCCTATAATACTTTTGCCGCCTCTCTTTTGGCTCCTTGACTTCCGTCCTGGCAGATATCCAGAAAAATTGCAGACTGAATGCCGAGCTGTTTGGGAAGACTAAAGTCAGCTCAGAGGTTTTGTACTGGTGCAAAGAGCCAGTACCTCTGGACTCTGAATTTGATTTTATTATTGCTGCTGACTGGTAAGAGACGTTCCTCATGACAGATGGGATTTGATGGATGCTTTTTTTCTGTGGCTTAGCACTTACTTCAAAGATTTTCATCTCGATCTGGTGCATACTATCAAATCGATTTTGACACGTACAATGACTTCCGAGGCTCTACTTTTCTGTCCTCGCAGAGGTGAAAGCCTTTTCAAATTTATTGAGATTGCAAAATCTGCTGGTCTGGCTGTTGCCGTCAAGGAAGTATATGATGCTGATATTTACAAGCTGCACAAGGAGTTTTTGCAAGCCGAAAATACGCAATGGTTAAATTATGATGCAGACCACAACTATCCTTTACTTATTTCTCTTACTGGTATGGCCAACGTTTTGACTGGATAATTTGCCTTGCTTGTGTCCTAAGGAAATCACATGCTTGAAAAGTCTGAAGGTTTGTTTCATCGACGTTCTGTGCATGCGACAAGTTTGCATTCTGTTTTCTGCGTGGCTGTTTGTCCCGTCATAACTTGTCTTCTACCTTGTTAACACCTAGATTTTGCAGATGAAGCTGCAGTGACAAACATTTATACATTGGTGAGCTCGGACACTGCTGCGAGCCCATCGTGTTGATCGTAACACGGCATGGCTTTTACATGAGGACTAGGAAGGGAGGCTTTTGAAACTCGAAGAGGTATGATGGCTAAGATGCCGCTTGAAGCTCTTGTGCTTTCAGTGCTATGGGTGGGACTTGCTAATTTATCGATGGCTTCTGGCAGCACCATTCGATCTGTTATTGGTAGCAACGGTTTTGCATACCAAGGGGGAAGGCTTATGGTTGATCCTATCACGATCTATGTTGCTTGGGTTGGCCCCTGGTCGGAGCACTCCAAAGAAGCCGTTCGCAGCGCCGTCATATCTCTGTCCGACGACCGGCCTTCTGAATTCCCAACACTGTCGAAGTGGTGGAGAATTGTGACACAGTACAACGACTCCAGTCAGAGGCCAGTTTCCGGTAACATTTCCTTGTCGAGAATCGAGTGTTCTGTTAGTGTCGGCAACGCCTCCATACAGTTGATGAAATCTGCCGTCTCCAAGGACTGCTTCTCCGTGTTTCCGGAAGACGCAAATGGGATCTATCACGCAGTCATTAGCAAGGAGCTGGACAGCACAGGTGTCTACGAGTGTTCAGGACGGTATATAGATGCTGGTGGAAACAGAACTTATCTATACACAAGGGAGCCTCGACCGGACGAGTATTGCAACTTCTGGCGCCGTTTTGGAGGGTATGCTGGGCCGCCAAATGGAGACACGAGCTTGGACTCGTTAATTAGCGCAGTTTTAGCCAGCAGCGCTGAGAGGGCTACAAACACAGAGTCCGATGGCTGGAACGACGATTCTGGGGATACGGTCAGCTCCAAATGTCCATCGCCAACGGGGTGGGCTGATAAAAATGGTCCCGTGATAGAGGAAGACGGCGTCAGCTGGAACTTGCGAGGCATAAACGGCTCGCGGTATATCGTGCAGCAACTGTGGAGCCAGAAAAACAACAATTGTGCTCTTCAGATCATAGGTACTGTCTTGTTTAGGTGATAGAACTGATCTTGTATAACTAATCTTTCTTTGCAGATTATTGTCATGAGCCGGCAGTCCTGAACAAGCCAAGAGGCCTGATAAGCCAGGGCTTGATTATAAACCATAACGTTGGTTTGCAGCCATATCCACCAGGTCTTGATTGTATGTGGTTCCTCTCTATTCCGCACTCTAAAGTCATTCGTATGACTGTCAACTTCATGGCTTTAGGCGTTAACGACAAGCTGAACTTATACGTGTGTCCTATATCGAGCTTGATACTCGGCAGAGAGGTTGATTGTGACATGATAAAATCTATGGCTGGGACTAGTACTCAAGTAAGCCTTCCGGATGTTGTTCACTCGAATCTGCAGCTTGAGTTTAAGACGAGTGTCAAGCAAACACCTCTCTCCATGGGCTGGGAATTAGAGTATAGAGCTGGTAAGCTTATTTCTTGCTATTTCTTCAGAAACTCATCAATACGATTTGTTCAGGATTCTGCTTCGAGACCATTACCACTACCGATCGTTTTGGTTTCATATCAGATGGAAGTCCTGATGGAGCGCAGTACCTGGGTATGCGTGAGTGTAGTTGGCTCTTCAAGGCAAAACCAGGCAGCAATGTCCATCTTCAGTTTACTCGTTTCGATACAGTGCAAGGGAAAGACTTGCTTACTGTTTACCAAGGAGACGCTAAGCGCAGCGACTCTATTTTGGAGGTCTTTTCGGGACGTTATTCCGTTCTTCCAAACCGGACTTACGTTGGACCTCTACTGTTGGTGTTTTCAACGGAAACTGACGACGGTGATGGCTGGGCTGCAAACTTCCAGATGGAGCACCCGGATTCAGGTTCACACGGTCCATCTTCCAGGAAAAACTTACTGGCCGTAATACTTGGAGCGCTCTCGGGAATGCTGTGTTTGATTGGCGGGGTCTGGTTGATATTGCGCTCGTGCAAGTACAACATTGGTTTCAGCCTGACTAGCAGACAGTTTTCAAGAGCAGAGCTGGATGCTGCGACCAGCAACTTCTGCAAAGAAAAGCTGGTTGCACCGGATATGTTCAGAGGAGTTTTGCCCAACCAGCAGCTCGTTCTGATACAACGGTGCATGCGTTCGTGCGAGAAGGAATTCGAGCTTTTGTCAAGGATCAAGCATTCCAACGTGGCCTCCGTCTTGGGTGTCTGCTACGACATCAGCGAAAGCTTCCTCATTTTCAAAGACATGTGCCACAGCTCCGTCTTCAGCCATCTCTTTGACGACGACAAGTGCTCGGCTCTTTCGTGGGAACGCAGGGTGAAAGTTGCTACGCAAGTCGCGAGAGCTCTGGGATACTTGCATACGTTTGCGGAGCCTTGCGTGGTTCACCGGTCAGTGAGCTCCATCAACGTCTACCTGGACGGTTCCTGGAATGCCAAGCTCGCGGGATTCGGCAGCGCTTTGAGTGTACGTTCCAGGAGCCAGGAACTCAAGCTGAAAGCCGAAGACGTTTACAGGGTGGGAGTTTTTATCTTGGAGCTGCTCATGGGACAGAGTGCTTTGAACGCAGAAGAGGACCAGCCAACAGTCGTTGCCCGCTGGGCTGTTCATGTTATCGACACAGGGTCCGGCTACGAAATTTTGGACAGGAGGTTGGAGGTGCCATGCGAACGAGAAAGAAGTGCGCGAGCTTTGCTGAAAATGGCGGAGATAGGTGCCTGGTGTATGAAGGACAAGCCGGAGGACAGACCGAACATGATGGAGGTGGCGGCGGTGTTGGCGCAGGTGGAAACTATTTTCTTTGGTCAATCCAAGCGGCATAGTAAGCGTCCAGGCTGAATCTACTCGAGGACAAAGCTCACTCGAGGATTAAAGCTATTGTTTTGGACGATCTTGCAAAGTCGCTGCCAGTCTGTCGATTATGCTTTTCGGCCTTGGTGCTTCCACCGGTCGAGCAAATTATTACGAGGTAGCTTGCACTGTTTAAATTTTCTTTTGTTCTGAATTCTCATGTGAGTTCTTGGTGTTTTGTTTCTCCAGGACTATGGGCACTGCTTTTCATGTTCTGTGGCTGTTATTACCAGTCATTACAAGATCGGCTTGGGGTTTTTATGAGGATTTCCCAGCGGCTGACAGGAATATCTACAACGAGACTTATGCTTTCCGCATTCTTGCCCGACATGGAATCCAATCCCCGGCAGAGACGTCTTCCTTTGAATACAAGGGTGGTCGTTTACTTGTAGAGCCCATCACTGTCTACTTCTTCTTTATCGGTAACTGGACTAAGCACGCCAAGCAAGCAGTTCGTTATGCAATTCTTTCGCTTAATGACGAGTCACCCGGCAAGCTTGACAGAAACAATACAGGGTATCCGACACTCTCGAAATGGTGGAAGGTTGCCACTCAGTACGCCGACGCTACCTCTCGGCCTGTCTCGAGCAGTATTTCGCTCGGCAGCGAATGCTCACTCAGTTTACGGGAGCTCGAAATGCCAAAGCTGCTGGGAACTTTTGCACAGGCGTTCAACCGCTCCTCTCCAATTCAGGCAAACTGCACTAAGGTGTTTCGGGCAGAAAACACTGCAGTATATCACGTCCTCTTCAGCAAGCACGTTACATTTCTGCGTACCGGTAAAGATTTTCTCCCTTTCACGAACTGTGCCGGCCGCGCCAGTTTGTTCCGAGTCGACGAATCCGGGCCAAAGATCAGCTTGGCTTGGGTGAAAGTGCCCTTTCACAAGGAATACTGCAACCTGGTGACAAGGTTTGGAGAGTCTTACACGCCTCCGAATGGAAAGAGTGGCGGTCTCGACTCACTAATCAGCAAAGTTCTGGCACAAACTGCCGACATGGCTACCAACTGGGACTTCAAAGGATGGGTGGCGTCAAGCAACTCACAAACTTCGGTGGCTCAACAATGTCCTTCTCCAACCGGCTCGGAGGACTCCGTCATGCCCGTAATTCATGACCGCGAGAAGATGATAAGCTGGAATGTCTACGGAAGGAATGGAGCGCGCTACCTCGTTCAGCAGCTTTGGAACCAGGATCAACGGAACTGTGCTCTCAAACCTCTCAGTACGTAACCCCGACAGGCTGTCGTTTAATTTTCTCCTTTTTTCTTTCTTTTTTGCAGGATCATGCCAAGGCAAACGGAAGCTAACGACAGTCACGGGAACTATTATGGTTAGTCTTATTGTGGATTCAACTCCTGGCGCGAAGGTTGGCTTGCAGCCTTACAATTCGAACCTTCATTGTCAGTGGACCGTGAGTGTCTCCAACGCAGTTCACATACGCATCCACCTGAACTATTTGGCCCTTGGCCCGGGTGATACAGTGGAAATTTCTTACGAGTGCAGACACAGAATTTGCAAGAGGATCGTGCTAAAAGGCTATTCACCTGGAAAGAAGCTAGTCGATGCAAAGGGTGCAAGTTTTCACATCAACTTTACCAGCGGATCACAAGCTTCTCCCAACAGAATGGGTTGGATGATCAGCTACAAAGCAGGTGATTTGTCAGCGTGGTTTAAACTTTTTAGCGATAAAAATACTTCCATTTTGCAGGCTTTTGTAAACGCAGTGTTGATGTACGCCAGGCAAGAGGATCGATCAACGATGGCTCTCCAAAAGGCGTCAAGTATATGAAGGGCTCAAACTGTTCGTGGCACTTCCATGCACTGCAAAACAGTAAGGTCCGGCTTTACTTCACCAGACTGGAAACCATTGCAAGCAGCGACATGATTCGAGTCTACCACCCTGACCATCACAAGGTCCTTGCAGAGTATTCGGGAAAAGCCGAGCTCCCACGTCAGGCATTCAAAGGTCCTATAACGCTGGAATTTTCCAGCCAAACAGGAGACGGCGATGGTTGGGCTCTAAACTACGTGATGGATTCTCCACAAACTACTACGCAATTGTCATATACAGCTAGATCTGCGGCAGTGACTGCACTGGGAGCTGTATGTGGTGTGTTCGTACCGGGTGTGGTCTTCCTTGGAGCTGTGGTTCTTTGCTGCAACTTTTCGGTCCTTCCGGTCAAACGCTCAAAGATCCAGCCAAGTGAAGAAAAGCCGCGACTCCACACAAGAAGACAGTTTTCGCTGGAAGAGCTCCGAGAGGCGACCATGGATTTCTCTCCGGCGAATGTGGTGTCAGACTCAGATGGAAACGTTTTCCGGGGTACCTTGCAAGACGGTCGTGTTGTTGTCATAAAGAAGAAGGTGTCCGAGCTTGAGCTTGACATCTTGTTGCGCATTCGCAGTGCAAGCATCGTCAACCTGGTCGGCTTCTCGTCCGACGCACAGCAGAAGTGCCTTGTCTTTGACTACATGCATCTCGGCCGCTTGTCTCGACGACTTTTCGACGATACGCTGCCTCCGATCAGCTGGGGGAACAGGCTTCGAATCGCTCTCCAGATATCCAGAGCAGTCGAGTACCTGCACACTTACGCCGAGCCACATATCGTTCACCTCAACATCAGCGCCGAAAATGTTCTCCTCGATGGCTCCTGGAATGCAAAGCTGAGTGGATTCGGCAGAGCTCAAAGCAGCAGCGTTGCCATCAAACCGGCTCTGAAGCTGCAAGACGTGTACAGCTTTGGCAGCCTGGTGCTCGAGCTGGTGACGGGAAAGGCTTCGAGCGATCGAAAACACAAGAGAGAAGCCTTGGCCGCGATAGAGGCAGGCATGGGACACACTATCATGGACAAGCGGCTCGAGAATGAAAACCAGATTGCGAAGATGGGAGAGATCGCTGCGTGGTGCATGAGCGACAGTACGAGACAACCAAGCATGGTTGAAGTTTCTTCCACGTTAAGCCAAGTTACCGCAATGGTTCTACGCTCGGCATCGAAGAAACAGCGTCCGCCACCTGGGAAAAGCAGAGACTAGAAGCAGCAAAGCAACCTCAAGCTACAATGGGAAGCTGTCGTCGGGCCTCCTGAAGCGGCGTTCCTTTCGGTTTGTCCTCTTGTACCGGTATCTCGCCACTTGGAGCTTTCTTCTGAGTCCCCGATGCCGCGCTTATAAAACAACAGTGCGTACAGGACATCACTGGATCAATTCTTTTCTCTGCTCGAGTTCCGGAAGCAGGGTCATGCTGCTGCTCACGCTTGGTCTGTTTCTCGGCTTCATGGTGCTGCTTTCTTTCTGCTCGAGCAAGGTAGAGTTTTCTAGCACGAGTTTCCTCGTCGACGGGCCGGATGATACTCCGAAGAGTTCGGGTCCACCATTCAGTCTCATAGATGTAACGGCAGTCCATTACCATGGAGGCAGACTGCTCGTGGAACCTATAGTGGTCTATCTCATCTGGCTTGGTCCGTGGGAGGACAAGTCCAAGGAAGCTCTTCGAAATGCGGTTCGCTCGCTCTCGGTTGAAAGTGGTGATGGACTGCCGGATCTTTTCAACTGGTGGAAGGTTGCTACGCAGTACACAGATGGGAACGGTCAGCCAGTTTCCAGTAATGTGTCGCTTGGCACGGTGGAGTGCTCGAGTTCTACGGCGTCAAACTTAAGCAGAGAAGCTCTCACTTCACTTATGCTCCAGGCTTTCAACGTCTCTTCTTCGCCGTCTGAAACGCCTCCGTTGTGCAGTTCAGTGCTCCCTCAAGATGAGACCGCGGTGTACCATCTTCTCTTTAGCGAGAAGGTGTCCTTTTCAGAAGACTTCCACACATCTCTTTGCAGCAGGCGGTTTAGACTTTTCAAGGCTGAAGAAGTTGGTCCCGAGTTAAGCCTGGCATGGTCCCGGGAGCCAGGGGGGGCGGAATACTGCAACCTCTGGAGTTATTATCACGAGTTTCTTTCACCACCAAATGCGAAGGATAAAGGCCAGTTGGATTCCCTGATCAGCTCTGTGCTCGCACAAACTGTGTCCATGGCAACAAACACTGACTTCGATGGCTGGCACAGCAATCTATCTTCCACAGTCACGACCTTGTGTCCGTCTCCGACCGGTTTATCAATTTCTGCAAAGCCGGTGATTGACGACGGGAAAATCAGCTGGAACTTAAGCGGGATAAATGGCTACCGGTACATGGTACAACAGATTTGGAGCGACAAGACGAAACTCTGTGCACTTCACTCATACGGTATGCCTCTCTCGTTCTCGCCTTTCTTCTAAACATTTGGACCTTTGACAGAACATTGCAAGGGATTGCGCGAGAGAAATGACTATCATGGGATTATAAGTGAAGGGCTGATTGTCAACCACAGTGTGGGACTCCAACCTTACAGCCACGGCTTGCATTGCGAATGGCGAGTCAGCATGCCAGGGGCTGCTGTGGTACGCGTCAAGATAAACTACATGGCCATTGTGAAAAACGTCGACTATGTCTACTTGCACTCGTGCTTTGCGCCAGTATATATCTACCGTTTGGATGCATGCTTGGAGAAAATGTATAGCGGGCTTGGCTCACCTCACCAGCTGGAACTCTACACTTCGGAGTTTCTTCTCGAGTTCAAAACTGGAAACAACCCAACCTTGACCGAGATGGGCTGGGACATCGCGTATCAAGCTGGTAAGCTGACTTTCTTGCTTAAGGTACCGCCCTTACACCGAAGTGCTCACTTACTTTGTTCCTTTCAGGATTTTGCTTCGGCACAACAAGAGTGACAGAAAAAAGTGGTGTTTTAACTGATGGAACTCCCGAGAACGCGACTTATCTCGAACAGCATACTTGCGCTTGGTTTCTTGACGGCCCAAACGTGGAACTCGACTTCGTCCGTTTCGATACAGTTCAAAACCAAGACGAGCTTCTGGTTTACAGAGGTGACAAGTCTGACGTAGCGAACATAGTGAGAGTCTACACCGGAAGATACTCTTCGCTGCCTCGAGAAACTTTTCCTGGTCCAGTGCTGCTCGAGTTTCGAACTAAAACTGGGAATGGACGGGGCTGGGCTCTGAAGTACACGATAAAGCCTGCTGGTGGACTCTCGCCACCGGAAGATCCAGCAGTGATCATAGCAGCCGTGTGTGGAGGACTGGGAGGCATGCTCGTTGCAGGATTGATCGTTCTTACGTATATGCGGCGTGTGCTCTTGCTCTTCGACGACAACGATCGTGAGATGGAACGTCCATTGTTGCTGCCAAAGAACATTAAAGTCTTCTCTCCACAAGTTTTGCGAGAAGCCACCGACAAGTTTAGCTCCAGCAACTTGATATCCAGGGGACGCAGAGCGTGTGTTTACAGAGCTAAACTACCTGATGAACAGCAAGTAGTGGTGAAGAAGACGAAACTGGCACGCGACGAGCTCCTGGTGATCTCCAGCGCCAGCCATTTCAACATCGTTGGCGTCACGGGCTACTGCTTCAATCGCAAGGAAAACTTCCTCGTTCTCGAATATGTCCCAAACGGTTCACTAGCGGATCATCTCTTCTCTAACGCTAGCACACTGGCTTGGAGCTCGAGACTGAGAATCGCGGTACAGGTTTCCAGCGCTCTCGAGTTCCTCCATTCATACGTGGAGCCGAGCATCACCCACGGCCACGTGAGCTCAGACAACATTCTCTTGGACAAGTCCTGGAACGCAAAGCTTGCCGGCTTTGGAAGCTCGCGGAGGAGCTGTGTGAAGAGGGTAGGCTCTCACAACTTCGGCCTCAAGGCGGAGGAAGTTTACAGATTCGGAGGCTTGGTGATGGAGCTAGTCACAGGGGACAGATCGAGCAGCAAGGCAAGACGGGCATGCGAGGTGATTGAATCTGGAAAGGAGGAAATGTTGGGCCTTGTTCTTGACAGGAGGTGTGGTAGCAACGACGTCACGGACAAGAGAGCAGTGCTAAAGCTGGCAGAAGTTGGAGCGTGGTGCATGACAAAGGAGGCCAAGGAGAGGCCAACAATGGTGGAAGTGGCATCGGCATTGAGACAGGTTCTTGCGATCTCCATGCGCTCCAGACGCTAGCTATGGTGACACGCAGTTTTCATATCCGTCGTCGTGGTTTCTTCGGGGCTGGCTTGACGAGATCTTTATGGCCTTTGGCTGGAGCTTGGGAAAGCTGCAAGGCAGGCAATAGCAATCGCTCAGAGTGATTTGAGACGAAGTTCTCACCTTATCCAGCTTCTCGCGGACGTTCTTCGCAGTAGCATTCATCGATGGCTCGGAGAAGTGCTGATAGCGAAGGTACCAACAAGTTTTCGATTGTTGCTTGAAACTCTTGTCTTACCTTTGGGATTGGTGCTTCACAGGCCACTGAGAGAGGAAAGTGTGGCTCCGGTTGGAAACTTTCTAGCGGTGTGACGTCGAGAGGATCGAGCAGTCCTGTTTGGAGGCGCAATCGTCCATTCACATCCACGTCCTTGAGAACTGGGAGGCGGTGAGTCAAGAATGTTCCATTCTCTTCGAAACTCATCTCTTTCTTCTTTCTTTACCAGCTTTTCTCTCCACGACGTCCAGTCTGCGCGCTTCTAGTTTGTGCTTAGTGTCCGCCAAGCTCTCGTACTTTGGGGCGTAGCTCACTTGCAACAGGTTGCCAAAGAACTGGAAATCATCCAGGTTTCTCTTCGCAGCTCTGCGTTTGAGGATGTTACTCGCAAGGGAAGGAATGGAGAAATGGAAAGAGCGAGGCTACCGTGCGTGGGCGATATCAGCGAACTTGATCCAGTATACGTCGGTGTAAGGCTCGCATTCTTCGTCATCCAGGAGCAAGTACCTGGACGGCGCGTAAGGTTTCGAGGAAAAAAGAAAGAACGAGAGACTCTACTCTTCAATGTGGCCAAAACTTCCAAGCAATTGTAGAAGCTCGCTGGAACAACCCAGCGCCGGGACGTTCTTGACAAGCATGTATCTGGTGTCTCACAAATTCATCCAAAGAAGAGCCTCACAAGATGGCTATTTCACTCACCTGGATTCATCGCAGACCGTGTACACTTTCACAGCTCGTTCCATCTTGCCCTAGCATAACAATGCAAACAAATTAGGACCGTTGGATTGAGGAATATCCTCAAGTATTCTAGGAAGCAAACCAAAAAGTCAAATTTATTTTGGTTTAATAAGCCGACGCTCCGTTTGGAGACAAACAAAAGAAAGTATAATTAAAAAAGTATTTTTTGAGAAAAATTTAAACACCGTTGTATTAGTACCTTTTGATGGTTGAGATTAAATCTTATAACGTGTTAATCTTAAACCCTTTTGTTGCTTATATTTGTCTTGAACGAAATTCTTCGGTAGGAAGTTCTCGGGCACGTCCAATGGAGGTGAGTCTTTGCAACAGAGTGTAGCTTCCAATGCATGAGTTCGGGCTCGGGAATCCATTCCTTCACAAACACCAAGTTCATGAAATCGCTTGAACTGTACTCATACATTTCAGCATATGGGATGCATGTCATCCAGATCACCACTCCACCATGCTACACTAGTACACTTGCGGGATAAACAAGATCGCACCACTGTTTACTACTTCATTGATCAATCTGATTGAGGGCCGAACTTATCTGTGCGGGCTTTTGTGACATGCCCCTTCATGTTGATGATTGCTGCAACCAGGTCCTCCAGTTGACACAAACTTGAATCCCCAGTAAGTATCGGCAGTAAGACTCCCATGCACTACCACACTTGTAAACTGTTATTTTTTCCGCATCCCTGACTGCCTCAATGTAAAGCCTGCCGATGTACTAGGTCACGTACTCCCCAGGCTCTCCAGCAATAAACCGCCTGTCCGGCTTGACCATGCATGACATGGTGACGTAAAGTCGATCTTGGTTAGGTTGTCCACAATAAGTGGCTTGATGTTCTTGACCTCTGCTACAAACATCTTCAACACATTTTCACACATCTTCACAGTCTTCGTCTTCTCCTAAATAATCCGTATCATCATCAGTAACTTTGAAGCTCCATCTTGGCTCCTCCGAGTATTCTTCAGATTGTTCACGTTGTTCTTCTTCATAACGTCTGCAGCATCTGTCGAAGATGGACAGCGAGAGGCGGTGAGAACCAGTATCGTAATCCAGGCTTGGCTGCAATCTGGGATTACGCCTCATAATGTCGCTTGCGAGTAAGTTCTGAAACACCATAAACACAGACCTGCGCTTCGCTGATCAAAGGCGCAACCTTTTTGGTGACCGGGCTTTCCCACTCGCTCCCATCATTTGAAGAGAAAAACAAAACTCTTCCACGATCTTGTGTCAAGGAGAATGAAACTCCGGAATCTGCGTGTCTTCTGCAAAAGAGGAAGCAGGAGAGGGTCGCAGCAGTACGTGAAACTCAGTGCATCGATAAAGTCCTAGCGATTGATTCAGGATAGATGCCAACAGTCTGAGGGGCGTTTAGTGCAATGGATAAAAATTCTTCAAATGTGATTATCTGAAAACTTCATGTTATATCATGACAAACATATAATATAATTCTGACCCTACTACCATTATAATCGTGGTTGCGGAATGGAAACCTCTACTTGGGTCGAAGTGTTTTAAGCTCCTTCAATGTAAAATCGACTGTCCCAAGGAAAATATAAAAACACATGTAGTAAACCAAAGTCAAAAGTGTTGACTTACCGACAAAGTGTCCAGTTATGTTTTTGCCTTAAAATTCGTAAGTGGATTTCCTATCTGCAAACTGATTTTCAGCATCTGTAGTGCATCAAGGGTTGTATCATGGAAACATATTAAGACGCCATCTTTAATAAGACAGTCTGCACACAAATACAACATAGCAGCCACAGATTGTTCAGGGAACCCACCAGGGCGGCCGCAATGAGCAAGATTCAAAGCCAGGCCGCCAACTTTCAAAGGTTTCTTATGCAAAACTCTTGAACTCAATGCCACATTGATAACTTCATAAAGAAAAAAGCACTATATAAGGGGTTCGATCAATTAATATATAAATAGTTTGCTACGCTTGGGTTGCTTAATAGTATTCTTACTTCTTATTCAAATTGATCAAACAAAAGTTTATAATTATAAACGTGTTTATAATTTATAAACACAAGATTATATCAACCATTAAGAATAAAAAATAATATACTAGAAAGTGTTTAAGAAAGTTTATAAATTATAAATACAAGATTAATCTAAATAAATAACAACCGTTAGATGGTAAAATTTTCTCAAATATTCTAAATATATCACAGGTTTGCTTAAGCAAGCCAAATTTGAGACATATATGAGTTTATAGTATTAGAACTATAAAAGCTTCCTTTTTCATGCTGGTATAATTCCGTAGCATCAATATCAGTTTGCTTCAAGCTCATTGCTGTGGATGGACTCTCCAGAGCAATGGGACTCTCGGGAACGATCTCTCGTTGCTTGAGTTTGGGGGAGATACTTTGTTGAGAGGGAGATGCCGCCATTCTAATGGAGGATTGATCATCATCCTCTTCGTCACCACTGTCTTCTCTGTCGGTAGCCTCTTCTTCTTCGTCATCATCTCTGCTGCTTGATCGTCTAGACGGTGTTGGAACGGCCAATTGGAGCTCGCGAAGCTTGGCTTTTTGTGAATTGAGCAAGGCCACAAACTGGAGAGATGTGCTCCTCAATCACACAAGCCAAAGTTTACAGGCGATCTTACTTTGCGAATGAGCTTCTCCTCGCATTGGTTCTTTTCTTGAACGACTCTCTTGTTTTGCTCCAGATATTTATCAACCTCGGCTTTCAAATAGTCTCGTCTTGTTCTTGAGCTCCTCCTGCGCTCTCAATCTAGACCTCGAAAGAATCTTCGTGTCTGCTTCTAGAACAAAGTCTAGAATCTGGCAATTTATCGCCTTGGAATCCGATGAGTTTACCAGCTTCCATCGCGATTCCAACGTGGTTCCAGCTCTCTGAATCGTCCAAGACAACTATACAAGATCAAACGAGAGAGCCTTCGAGATAAAACAAGAATAAAGGCAGAAAGAAAGAAAGAAAAACAATCGCTTCTTACTTTTGCTTCATTGCTTGAGGTTATACACGGACGAAGCTTGGTGCTCGCTCAATCGGCTCCTCACGTCTCGGAGATAATCGGCCACGGATTGATCCCCCGGTCCTCGATCATGTCGCGAGATGCTACACAGAGCTCCAGAGCTGGAATGAGGGCCAAAGCCAAGCAAAGCAGAGATTTCACTTACGCCAACAGCTCCATGCCCCGATCGATCGTCCTGGAGACACAACCTCGCGCAAGTTACTTCTCCCTCAAATATACCTTTAGGGTAAGAATATCCTTCCAATTTAAAAAACGAAACTATATTGAAATTTTTGCGACCTTTTGCCTTTGATACTCGGAGCATAGCTCCAAAATTGCTATGAATTTACTCCTTTCCATCGGCCTTCCTGAGAGAACCAAGCTGGACCGGAGCTTGAGTTCCCACAACCTTGGAGGAGCTGTAACCCGTAAGTAAGTCTTGAGATCCCTCGCCAATCTCCTTGTCAAGCTGCTCCTTAATCCACAAGTAAGTGATCCGCAGCCCATCTTTCAATCGCATCGAGGGAGCCCATCCGAGCTTCTCCTTGATCAAACTGTTCTCCGAGTTTCTCCCGCGAACTCCCTCCGGCCCAGGTATATGACGGATCGGGATTTGCTTGTTCTCAAATCCTAGTATGATCTCTGCCATCTCGTTCATGCTCACCATCTCGTCGCTTCCAATGTTGAGCGGTTCCCGGAAATCGGACTTTGTGAGTCGCAAGACGCCCTCCACGCACTCGTCGATGAAGGTGAACGATCGCGTCTGCATTCCATCGCCCCACATCTCAAACGAATCGGTGGAAGTCAGGGCCTTTCGACAAAACGCAGCCGGAGCCTTCTCTCGTCCACCTGGTATTGAAACAATCTCAGTTACTCCCACTCAAGCTAAAGAAGAAAGAAGAAGATCTCAATCTATGAAGTCACCTTTCCAGGTCCCAAAGGGTCCATAGATGTTGTGGAATCGTCCAATGCGGCACTCGATCCCAAAATCCTTGGTGTAGTGCTTGCACAGCTCTTCAGTGCACAGCTTCTCCAGTCCATAGGCATCTTGGGGCTGCAAAGTGCAATTTTTTTTCAGATTCCCCGCAAAAGAAAAGAAGCTTTTTTTTTTCGTTTTCATACCTCTGCCGGCCATGCATCTGACTCCTTCAAACTCACGTTAGTCTCCAGCTGCTTAAACTCGGGGTAAATGCATGCACTGGACGCATAAAAAAATCTGGAAGCCAAGAAAGAGAGTGAGCTCCAAATCCTTGGGAAGAACAACTTAGAAACACCACAGGCTACCTTTTGACTCCATTGATCCGGGAGGCCTCGAGCATGTTGAAACTGATCATGGTGTTGTTGAAGAGAATCACAGAGTGATTGGACTGGATGAATCCCATTCCGCCCATGTCGGCCGCGAGATTGAAGACGTGATCCACGCCCCTTGTCACCGCCAGGCAATTCTCCATGACGCGCAGATCCACGAGATGGAATTCGTGGCAAAACATGTCCTCGCTCATGTGCTCGTTCTTCTTCCAGTCGGACGCGATCACGTAGTGTCCCTCCGCCTTGAGCCGCCGCGCTATGTGTGAGGCGATGAATCCTCCCGCGCCGGAGATGGAAATCCGGAGCTTGGCTTGCGGCCAATACGCCTCGCGCTCTAGCTCGGCTCCTACGGTGTAAGCTCCAAAGGACTCCATTACACACCTTTCTATCCTTTCGCTCTTCACAGCCCTACTTATGCTAATGCCGAAAGGAAAAATAGGAAAACTTTTCTTACCTTTTTCAAGGAAAAAAGGTAAAACTGAAAGTTTTTTCCACGATTTTATTTTTTTTTGTGGAAAAAAATACACCTTTAGGTAATGAGTTAGGACTTCAAGTTACCAACGAATTTACTTTTCTTACGAGCTTTCTTCGCAGTTGGCCGTTCATCTCGAAAACCCCCACCTGTGAAAAACGAAAGGTAAAAACATTCCACGCAGATGGTAAATTTCAGGACCTCGATTAGGCAGCTAGAGCTCAGGATCGCGCGTCAGTGAAAACTACGTACAAAACCTTTCCCAGGTTTTTTAGATGGAAAATCCCATCTTCGTTTATCTTGATGCGCGCCTGCAAAAGCCATGAGAGATGCGACAGAAACTTGGAAACTACAAACCTGCTTTCTGGAAACTCTGTTTGCCGGGCCCTCCTGTGCGAGATCGACATCAATGACGTTTCCTTGCGTCCGTCTACCGATCGAAACCTTGGGTGCAAAGTGTTAGCCAAGCGTGAAGCTGAAAAGCAGCCATTCTTGCAAACCTCGTTGGCCACCATGAGATACTTCAAGTGGTATCCGCAGAGCATGGCAATGGCGCCTTTACGAGTGAGGTACCGTTGCATCGCGGCGTTTACACTCTGCTCCAACCTTAGAATGGTCATTTGATGTTGTCCATAGAAACGCTTTGATTCTATGTAATACACACACAAGCCATGGATTGCGGAGTGTTCATTGTCACCTGGATCCAAGTCCATGTCTAGTATCTGCAGAACAGGATAACGAAGAAGTTGTGAGTGTTCTAGATTACCATGGTCTCAACATCCGAGAAACGAACGATTTCATCGTCGCTTTCGACTTCCGGAGCCTGCCTGTCGTCTCGGTTCCGGGCTCTATCTTCACGTTTGCTAGGACAAAAAACAAAGCAGAGAATCAACCGGACGAGAAGTCGGTTGGTCACGTTTTCGAACGAAAGCGTACCCGGAATCTCGAGAGAATCTCATTTATGATGGGAGAAAGATATATCTGTCCTTCCTACCAATCCAAGGAAAATTCAAGCTTTGATCGATCATTTATATATACTGTTTGGGATGGATGTCGTGAATCCCACGAAGATAATCTCTATCCGATGATCCTGTACAGCTCAAGCGAGAATTTTTCTCTGTCTCTCTTTTCACTTCGTTTATGTGCCTATAGGTGATCGATCGTCTGGGCTGGCTAGCATCACCTGCGAATGAGAACAAAACTTTAGGAGCAAACCAGCAGGAAGAGAATTCTTACATTGCAATCAAGCGCAAATCTTCGTGCCAGCATGATCGCATCGTTTCGCTCGCGCTCGGACTAGCATGTAAGTCAGGCCTCGCTTCACAAGCCAAAACATGGCGACAGGAGCGGCCTGTCCACCGCCTCTTGCTCCACAAAGCTGCAAAATGGAAGCTTTCGATCAATATCCTTGTTTTCGCTCAAAGAGTTCAAAAAGCTTACCTGCATGCCAGCAGCGTATTTCTCTTTGATCTTCGTTGTCAGTCATTTACGGAGCTTCATACGGAGTCTTTCAATCTCCAAAGCATGCAACGGTTGCTTTTCTACGTACTCGCCATTCTGCTGTACAATGACTACCTGAAAAAACGAAAAGCTTCGTTCCTTCATAAAAAAACGATCTTGTCATCACTAACATTAAACTCTGTATCGCCCTTCTTTGCTAACGCTTCGACGAACAGGTAGCCCTCAAAGCACAGCTCTCACCCATACCCTTCGCTTCTCCACGTAGAGTTCCATACCTTTAAATCTTAGCGCCTTGAAGAATGCATCCAATAATTCTCCCACAGCCGCACTGCATACAAATCTGACGGGTCTCAAAGGTGGCGTGCCAAGGTGTCTGTGGGCGAGGGTTGTGCTCTCTCAGATGGTAAATATTCCATCTTGCAAGAGTCACTAATTTGTTATACCAAAACCCTAATAACAATTTTTTAGGGTTTAGATGGTTTTTTAACCTAGGGTTTAGTGAGAATGGCCCAGCTTCGCGAGATCGCGCAGGCATGGAAGATCTACTGCGCGTCGGCTCTCGATTCTCCAATCCAGCAGCAACAGCAGCAGCAGCAGCGGCCCGGGCGGCGCAAGGGATCGGCGGGTTTCAAGGGGCAGGATGTCTCGAGGAGTCTTCGATTCCTGTGTGAGCGTGGCCTCGGTGAGGTCGTAATGCAGCATTTCATGGACGAGCTTGAGGTACTTGATGGAATTTCTAGCGGCATTTTGTGAGCTTGCCTCAGGTTTTGCTTCTCTAGAGATCACTCAAAGAGAATTACATTCCAGAGTTTTGGTCACATTTCACCGATTTTTTGAGCGTCAAGGAAAATTCTGATACTAAACAGGTTCGTCGTTCGTGGATTGCTGACTCTTGAAAATTTCTTTTTGTTTTTCTTTCCTCTTTGCGTTGCAGCTGAACGAGTGGATACATTTTTCACTACCTGTGGCACTCGAGAAACTATGCTCGAAGAAAGTTTCTCAAGAGGATGGTCTGAATGCGTTGATCAAAGCTTTGGAAACAAACGCAAGCGTAAATGGCTCTCAAATTCTTACGTCGCACCAGACAACGGTCACTGCGTTGCTTCTCACGACTTCACCTTCGTACTTCTCAGGTTTGTTAAGCATTGTCATTTGGACTGAGAAAAAGTTTTGCTTTTCTCTTGTTGCAGATTTGCTAAAGCTTTATTTCACCGCCCGCTTGGAAGAGTTTAGTGGATCCTTTCGGAAGCGGCCTTGCAACTCTGACGACGAAGATTGTGAGGCCTCTACGGATGTCGAAGATATGGACGTGCTTGGGGTGGAAAGTCCCTGCAAAGGTGAAGCCGAAGCTACAGAAGTCAGTGAGGACTCGGTTTCAGTCAGAAACGTTGTGAAGCGTCTCAGAGACCTTGGTTTTGCTGCTTTGTGTGAGGAAGCTTATGCATCAGCGATTTTGTCTCTGTTAAAGGTAAGTTCTTGCAGCTCGATTTTGAGAACTCAACTCCTGCTTTGGTTGCAGAAAAAAATCTACTCCATAGCTGATAAGCGCTATGAGAAGCCTGTCCTGGGACCTATTCGTCATTGGATTGAGGTAGCATATAAAAAATTACATTTTCGTTTTTCTGAAACTTTTACTTGCGTAGGCTGTGCCTATGCGGTTCTTAAGTGCCATTCTGGAATCTTCCGCCGGGAGTTCAAGCTTGTCGCCTTTGCCCGCTACTCCTTCGCCGCTGGCTTCGTCCTCCACACTCTCAGATCTTTCCAAAGAGCGAATTATAAGATGGCGACTAAGGCTTCAGTTCTTTACATACGAAACACTAGGCGATTTGCGAATCAGCGAACTTTTTGACGTTATTGTGGACTACCCTGACAGGCAAGTCACACGCTATTTGTCTAATGTTTTGAGTCCATCTCAGCCTTCCAGCTATTGAAGACTTGCGGCAGTGCCTTGCAAATACCGGGGAACACTCCAAGCTCGTAAAGTCCTTTCGTTTGGCATTGAAACAAAGACTTCTTACGGCTGGAGCGGCCACCACGGACATATTGACACAGTATGTCTCGACTATCAAAGCGCTTAGAACCATGGATCCGACTGGAGTAATTCTCGAGGCCGTCGGCGAACCTATCAGAGAGTACTTACGGGGAAGGAAAGATACAATTCGCTGTATAGTCACTATGCTGACCGACGACACAGCAACAACAAGTGGCACGACCGTCGCAGGTGGCGGAGAAGGCCTCCTTGAGGAACTCAGTCGGGGAACTACGACTGTAGAAAATGCGGACAGCGATGAAGAGGGAGAACTCGATGGCGAAGAGGCTTGGGCTGCTGCACAAAGGTAACTAAACTACACATCATACCATACCGACGCATTTAAAAACTGTCATGTTATAGGTGGGAGCCGGATCCTGTGGAAGCCGACTTATCACGAACTAGCAAGAGTCGAAGATCGATGGATATTATCAGTATGTTGGTGGGAATATATGGCTCGAAGGAGCTTTTTGTCAACGAATACAGGGTGATGTTGGCGGAGAAACTGTTGAACAAGTCAGATTACGACACTGACAGGGAAATTCGAACGCTCGAGCTTTTGAAGGTAGTATTTCTTGCGCTATCCTTTGTACCTGTCTGACATATGTGCCACAGCTGAGATTCGGAGAGAACAACATGCACAGCTGCGAGATCATGTTGAAGGATCTGGCGGACTCTAAGCGCATAAACTCGAACATAAAAGCAAAAGGAAAACCGCAGGAAACGTTTCAGAAAGGCGAGGAGTTAACTTTGCACAACGTTGATGCCACTGTTATTTCCTCGCTGTTCTGGCCTCCTTTCCAAGTAAGCTTTTGCTCTCACTCTCATCTGGTACTGATATGTCTTGCATGGATCGTAACAGACGGAGACTCTCCAAGTTCCCGACTTCGTTGATAAGCTGCTAGACGACTATGCTCAGCAATACCATACTGTAAAAGCTCCTCGGAAGCTGCAGTGGAAGAAACATTTAGGCACTGTCAAGGTGAGAAAAGTATTTCCGCTTTCCTTCTGCAAATACTGAAGGATAACAAATGCAGCTGGAGCTCCAATTTGAGGACCGTTCGGCTCAGTTTGTGGTTTCACCAATGCAAGCGTCTATTATTTTGAAGTTTGAGAGCTGCTCCAGGTGCGTCTTAGCCATTGCTTCAATGCTTCTGATGCATGGTTCGCAGATGGTCAGCCTCGGAGCTAGCTGCAGCGTCTGGAATCCCCGTCACAACGCTTAGACGCCGGATTGTATTGTGGATCAATCAGGTGAGCTTACTCTTCCATCAAGATAGTAACTTTTGTTAAGCTGGGACACAGGGTGTTCTTGTAGAATCGCACGGAGACAAAGATGGTGAGGTTTTCTATCAGGTAGTGGAGACTATTGGCGATGGCGGGCAGAGAGGGGCGTCTGCTCCAACAGAAGCGGCTGTACCGCTGCTCGAGGAGGAGGACGGGCAGAGTGCCGTAACACCCATGGAAGATCAATGGCAGCAAGAGATGAACGTCTACGAGGTTTGTAGAGCTTGTTCTCTTCATCCATATAATCGGTGTCTAACGTTTTTGATCCAGTCTTACATCGTTGGAATGCTTACAAACTTGGAATCTCTCCCGCTGGATCGGATCCACAATATGCTCAAGGTACTCCTCCTCCTCAAGTTCTATGTCATAGATTAAAGTGTTTGATATGATGTCGAGCAGATGTTTGTCTCGGATCCTCCCTACGACAAGACACTCCAGCAGCTACAGGGATTCCTTGGAAGTTTGATCGCCGACGAAAAGCTGGAATTTAGAGAGGGAGTCTACCGCCGGAAGCAATGAAAATCAAAAGGTAGGCCTTTGTTCTTTCCAAGGGATAAAGTTTGTTAAAGTTTCACGCAGTTCTTTGGGAAGATCACCCTCCAATCAAATCCTTTCTTCTTTCTGAGGTTTGAGAAGCTCCACGAGTCTAGGAAGTTTATTAAAACTTCTAGCTTCTAGAGCTTTGGTCTAGAGCATAGATTGTATATTTAATCTTTTTTCTTTTACTATTTTACAGATTGATTCTCTCATCCTGCTACACGTAGAAAAATTTGCCAGAATTTCACCTTCGGTGTGGCAAACCGTGAGGAGGCTTGTTATTACTGTTATTCGTTCCACCGGGAGCCCGTTTTACTGCCTTTGGCCCTCCCGTTCCTTTGGGAAGATCCATCAAATCCATGACTTGAACAGTCCGGTTCTTCTTAGCTGAAAAAGAGAAACAAAACGTAAAAAGTTGGGAACCAGAAAAAGCAAAAAAAAATTACCAGTTTCTGCTCGTTGGTAGCCTTCTTGCAGTTTACGTTTTGCGGCCGCGAGCTTGTCATTCTCAGGGTGACCACTTTCTCGTCTCTGGAGAAAAAACGAAGAAAAAACAAAGGAGAGTGTGAGAAGACCAAGGAATTCTAGTCTTTAGCGAGCAAACTGTACCGATTGTTGCTGTGGCCTCTCTTTTTTTCTGTGGAAGGGGGCATCCAGCATCGGTGGCTTCCTTTCATCTTTCCTGGCATGTTTAAGTCCGCTCGGCCGGAAGTGGTCCCCAGAATTATTGTAAAATGGGGACACTGGCATCGGTGAGTGCGAGGCGCGGCTCGATGAGTTGAGTGGCGATTCGTCCGCCGAGATCGAGCACCCCGTCGCTGAGGAAACGATAAAAAAAGAAAGACAAAAACGAAAAAGCGATGAGTCACTCCATTAACGTAACGCATGAGGCGGCAAGAATCTCGTGTGACAAGGATATGAAACTCACCCATGTTGTTATCCATGCTATTATCCATGAGATCTATGAGCTGCGATCATATCCAAACAAGAGCGCTCAGAAAATGGAATAGAAAAATTCTTTGCAAACCTTTGTCATCTCGAAAGTGGTCGCGAAGAGCTCGTCTTCGTCAATGGGTGGTGGTGCCGGTGTGCATTGTTCATCGTTTCCTGTGAGAAAACCACAATTCGTTTCCAAATCAAACTCTAGAACACGAGGAAAAATAAAAACTTGCAAGAGCAACTAGCAGACCTTGCACGTCGTCTAGACTTTTGGCCCATTCGTCGGCTACAGCCTTCCACGATCTGCAGTGAAAGAAACTTTGATCCATCATCCTCAACTCTTTGCTTGTCTTCTTTTTACCGGATAAGTTTCCTGGCGGCCGACTTTATTTGATCGCAGCCGTGTCTCCGCAGATTGTTCACAGGCTTGCCAATCTCAGTCGCCTGGAAAACATATCAAAGAATAAAACAACCGCGTGAATCCCAAGAGCTTCTCGAATGAAAGAAAGAAAGAAAAAAATCCCCCTAGTAACGAATTCTCTTGTTTACCTTCAGAGTCTCGATCGAGAGATTTAAATCTGTCAATCGCACAAGAAGTTCTAAAATGTCGTCATCGTTCTGTCACAAGGGAGACAACGCGTGAGGACAAAGGCAAAAAGAAAGAACAAGAAGAATGAAGAGAGAGAGAGAGAGAGAGGAGAGGAAAGAATGAAAAAAAATGGAGAGAAGAGGGAGAAGAAGAAATCCTTGCATACCTTATCAAGATCTACCAGCTCCTTTTTAATCTTGAAAACTTCCTTGACATCGCCCTCGCGATTCCCACTGCCCATGTCCATCACGGAATTCCCATACTCGTGATCGCACGCCGTGATGGCTGGAGAGATTTCGCTGTGGCGGCTCACCGATCCCCGTAGCACCGCGGCCTCCTCCTCCTCCTCCTCGATCGGCCCCGCCGGGCAAGCGATTTGCTGAAATAGCTTCTCGGCGATCCCATCGCGCCTCTCCCTAAGCTTGTCGGGGTAGTCCGCCGCCGCGATCGCGATGCCCCGGTCGATCACCGTCCAGAGATCGTGCTCCAAATCCCTGAAGAAAGATCGCCAAAACTCCAATTTCTCTCCTCCGCCCATGGCTAGAAAGAAATCCCAGAGGAGCTCCTCGCCCGAAACTTCCCCTCTGGAACAAGAAACCTTGCCCACCTTAGAACAGCGAGAATCTCCACTCACGAAAGAGGCCAGCGATTCCCCAGCTGGATCTCCGCATTTTCTCGATGCGATGCTCGCTCAATCAAATCCCTCGCAGACCTGACTCCTCGCGAGAGAATCCGTCACAGATTTCTCATTCTCCCGATACCTAAGCTAAGGATCGATCAGCAATCCAGGACTGACGCGACAAAGAGAGAGGGAAGAGGAAAGCTTCCTAGGGCTAATGGAATTGTTCTTGATCCGACGGCCCAGCGCGCGTGGCGATTAGATCCGACGGTCCAGGACCAAATTGCTGACTAGTCAACGGAGAGCGGCGAATTTCCGCGTGTAGTGTTGAGCGCCACGTGAAGATATGGCAAAAACTCGTTTCGTTTGACGGGTTGCTAGGTAGGATTCGAACCATGGATTGGTCAACTCTCCATTGACCATAAGCCCTTAGGTCAACTCTTCGATAAGCCCTAAACCCTAGAGCAGGGTGGGGAGAATGGCGGGGAGGCGCCGCGCAATGGAGCTCGTGTTCCTCGGCACTGCGGCGAATCCATCCCCGCGGAGGAATTCTTCGTGTGTGCTGCTCAAAATAGGTGAGATTTCGAGCGCGAGCATTCTTTGTGTGAGATTTTGGTTTCTCAGGGAAGATTATGCAGCTATTCGACTGCGCCGAGGGATCGTTCCGGCAGCTGCAGGAATCGCGGCATTCCGGCAGCGCGATTGACAGGATCTTCATCACGCATATGCACGGGGATCACGTAAGGATTTTGCCCGATTCGATTCGAGCAGCTCACTGTGACCTCTTTTTTCCTTCCTTTCTCTGTCGTGTAGGTCTGGGGACTTCCAGGTACGTTGTTCTTGGCGATTCGTTTTGCGATTCTTTACAGCATTTTGTTATTTGTTTTCTTTGTAGCATTGCTGTGTGCTGCCAAGTTTAGAGTCAATGCGGAGATTTATGGACCCCAAGGAATTCGCGACTGGCTGCGCATGAGCTTAAAGTCGTGCCGTGCCAAAGTTCCATCCAAGTACAAAGTCCATGAGCTCATCCTTACTCAGGTGTGCACGAGATCTCCAGATTTTGTTGTGATTCAAGCCTTTTTTCTTTTTTTTCTTCAGGAAAAGAGCTTGGAACGAGTTGCGTCCTTGCATGTCCCAGCTAATCCTCACGACGATGAATTACCGGGAAATGATATAAGCTGCTCTGGAGACGGTGTTTGGCATGTGTATGCAACCTTTTCAACTCTCTGTCGGCTTTTATTTTCTTTTGGTGATGCAGACTTCAAGACGAAACGCTTGACATCAAAGCTGGTTTGTTGACCCACAATGTTCCCTGTTGGGGATATGTGCTAACAGAAGTCAAGAGGTAGATGAGTTTTCTTACATTCTCCAAGTGACGTTCTTTCTTCTGTCAGCGAGGCGGAAAAAGAAAGCGCTGGCGAAACTACCAGAGGAAGCCGAAAAGTTGGTAAGTTCGTGTTATACACGAACTATACGAAGTTAAATTCTTTTGCAGTGATTCTTGGTGACACAGCCAACTCAAAAGCTCTCACCACAGCAGGCAGAGATGCCGATGTTGTGGTGCACGAGGCAACACTTGGTAATTGTAACAAGGAAACTCACTCGACTCCAGGTAGTTCTTTCACTGTGTTTGTGGAGGTGAACAAACGTTTCCTTGCAGAAATGGCCGGAAGTTTTGCGAAATCTATTAATGCCAAGCTGCTGGTTCTAACACATTTGAACCGAAACGCTGTGAGTCTTCCCGGTTGCCTCTTCTGTATATTGTCTGAAACTTATTTTTGCATCCGCTTCTAGGGGACTTCAAAACTTCCTGCGACGGCTTATCTTGATCCGGCCAAGCGTGCGTTTGGAAGGGACAGCGTTGTTCTGGCAGAGGATTTCCTCTCATTGAGCCTATGATAGGCATGGAATCTAGCCGAGTGCGTGCTACTCCAGCAAAAGACGCTGCTAGCTTTCAAGGCACAAGCCTGTCAAGACTGCCAAGGAGGATAAGTACGTTGCTGGCGGAACTGAAGTCCGCGAGCAGCTCCGGGGACTTGAAGATGGGAAGGAGGCTTCATGCTGAGGCTGCCGAGAGCGGCGCCGACACACATATTTACGTAGCTAGCAGCCTGGTGAATATGTACGCGAAGTGTGGGAGCATGGAGACTGCTCGGAGTATTTTCGATAAGATGGTTCGGCACGATGTTGTCTCGTGGACTGCGCTGATACTCGGCTACGCTCAGAATGGACAGGGGAAAGTAGCTCTCGAGCTGTTCGAGGCGATGCAGTTAACAGGCTGTGCTGCTAATGCTCAAGCCTTCGTAGCTGCGCTCAAAGCCTGCACAAGCCTCGCAGCAAACGAAGAAGCAAAGCAAGCTGATGGGAGGCCTGTGAAGATGGTATCTCTGGAGAAGGGAATCGCTCTTCACTCTCAGGCTGCCAGGCTCGGCTTCGACTCAGATATATTCGTGATCACGACTCTGGCAGATATGTACTCGAAGTGTGGGACGATGGACAATGCTCGTGAGGTGTTTGACAGGAGTCCAAAGAAGAGCTCGGTGCTATACAACACGCTGATACTTGGATATGCACAGAACGGTCAAGGTAGGCTGGCTCTCGAGTTATTTTGCTACATGTTGTCGTCTAAGGATTGCTTACCTGTTCGATCTACATTCCTCGCGGTACTCAAGGCCTGCACCGTTCTTGCTGACAAAGAAGCTGAAGGCATTCTCGGTGGCAAGGTCAGGAAAGTGGCTTCGCTCGAGATTGGGATGGCTATCCACGTACAGGCTTGGAGAAGCAGGCTTGAGCTGGACCTTTGCGTCGCAAGCTCTCTAGTCGACATGTACTGCAAGTGCCGGAGCCTGGGCGATGCGAGAAGGGTGTTTGACAGGATGAAGATCCACGACACTGTGTCGTGGAATTCGCTCATTCTCGGGTATGCACAGAATGGAGACGGTAAGACGGCGCTGAAACTATTCGAGACGATGCTCGCGGAAGGCTGCGTGCCCGTTCGCTCGAGCTTCCTAGCGGCACTCGAAGCATGCAGTGCTTTCTCCGAGGAAGAAGAGTGCCAGTTCGTCAATGGAAAGGTGGCGAAGGTGGTCTCTCTGGAAACGGCTATGGCTATACACTCTCGAGTAGACGCCGAGGCAGCAAAACATGGCGTGGATATCATGGTGGCCAACACGCTGATCGACGTCTATGCGAAGTGTGGCAGCATGACTGACGCTCAAAGAGTCTTCGACGGTATGAAGCACCACAATCTGGTCTCTTGGACAGTTCTAATGTTTGGTTATGCGCAGAACGACAGGGCCAAGATGGTCTTGGAGGTCTTCTCGCAAATGCGGTACTTCGAAGAATGGATTCCAAGCTCCCAGGCTTTCGTAGCAGTGATCCAGGCAGCAGCAGACATGGCAGCCTTGGCAGCTGGAAAAAGAATCCACGGTGACGTTTGTAGGCTGGGACTGGAGCTGGAAGCTCACATACAAAGCAGCCTGGTGGATCTCTACGGGAAGTGTGGCAGCACAGTCGGCTCTCAGGTGGTTTTCGACTCGGCTTCGTCGAGAGGGATCGAGATGTGGAGTGCAGTCATGGCAGGACACAGCCGGCAGGGAGATCATTCAAGAGTTTTCGAGCTCTTCGAGGGGATGGTCCGAGCAGGAGTTCGTCCAAACGCCATCACTTTCCTGTCACTGCAAATCACTTGCAGCCGGGCCGGGCTGGTGGACAAGGCCTGGGAGATTTTCTCGGAGATGCAGAGCTCAAAGTTTGGGATCCGGCCAGGGATTGAGCACTACCACTGCTTGATCGATTTGCTGGGGCGCGCCAACCAGATCGACAAGGCGGTGGAGGTGGTGGAGAGCATGCCGGTGAAGGCCACGGCGGTGACTTGGATGACAGTGCTGGGTGCATGCCAGAAGTGGAAGAACTCGGAGATTGGAAAGAGGGCGTTTGATGCAGTGGTGAGGCTGGATCGCGAGAAAGAGCATCACGCGGCAGCCTACGTTCTCTTGGCTGAGATCTTCGAAGCAAACTAAGAAGAATCATTCGATTATTATCAAAAGAAGAGTGGATCGAAACCTCAAGAAATTTAGTAGTGGTTTAACAATTCATGACCCTCTATATTAAATGCTGCTACAGTTATGTTTTATGTTTATACTTTCACCAAGTTTTTTTTCAGGTGTGTTTTTATAAATAAAGCAGTGATTTTGGATTTTGATCTTCATCTTATTATTCTAAAATTATTTTCCAATTTAAAATAAAATTATAGTTAGAAGAGGTATTTTCTGTATTACTTCATAATCTCTATACAGGATAAATGATTTTTTTAGAGTATCAATTATAATAATTATGAGTGTTAAAATTTTATTTCCAGTAGGAGATTATATTTTGAATTTGCATTACGTTGAGTGAGAAGGACTCACCTTCAAAATCGAGTGGGATAAAGGAAGGAATTTTAAGTCTACCAAAACATTTATTGCTAATCTTTATTAATAAAATTACTAAATAGGACTATTGGTATTATGAGGGCCAACAGCTACAATGCCGTATACTAATATTAATGTAGTAGGATTTTGGTAGCCGTCAGATTAGTTTCAATCCAGACCACTCGTTCTTATATATAAACTAGGGTTTCTTGGGCTAATTGAGGACAATTCATTACATTTCTCTCAGCTCAAAGGTCCAAAGGTCCTATTTGACAAGTTGGAGCTTGCCTTGTTAGCCAAGACTACATCATCTTGGGTATGAAACATTTCTCTTCCCATTTTCTCGAGTTTTTCCCACTAATGCTGGACTCTCCAGGCATTGGCTACAACAGCTTTCCTTGAGGTTGCTCCGACGATAAGCTTCCCTGGGCCAAAGTAAGCTCCATTCCATGTATTTTACTCTCGAGATTCACTTGGACCCTCTTTGCAGAAATCACGGGACAGTGACTTGCTCAAGACCAAATACCCGTAAGTCGTTTTCTCATTTGTTTATTCCGATTTCCTTCGTCTTTCTTCGTATCTTTCCTGATTTGACAACATCATTGTTGTTATCTCTTTGCAGATACATATGCCATGCGGAAGTGAATGCCATCCTGAACAGGAATCACACCTCAACATCCGGTCAGGTACTCATCAAATTCATGCCATGTTGAAAGCTCTCCCTTCACCTGGATCTTCGTTTAGAGGCTCTACGTGACCATGTTCCCGTGCAACGAGTGTGCCAAAGTCATAATCCAGGTACTGAAATCTTATCACCCTTCAATTAAACTTCTTGTTTCTCTTTTCAGTCACGCAAGCTGCTGTCCATGGCCAATGTTAAGGTAAGAAAGATCCTCCAAGTCTCTGGAAACTGGAGAAATCACAGAAGAACTCTTGTGTCTTTATAGCTCCGACAGCACCAGCCCAAAGCAAAGTCCATCATTCTCGAGTTTTAAGCAAGAGTGAACTTCCGTACATATATATACACTAGACAAGTAAGAACAAGGAGATCACTCTCAGTTCGAGTTACGTTAGACTTACAGATCACTCTAACGTAATAGCTATTGACACTAAGAAGTTTTGCAGTCCAAAATGTTATTTTTTACCATTAAATATTTCCCTTTAAAACATTTATGATTTATATGGAATAATGTATATAATTGTTAAAAGTTTTAGGCAGAATACAGAATCTTAATATGTGAATAAGGAAAAAATGACAAATTAAAATATCTGTTAAAATAATATATTTAATGAATATAATATAAAACATATGCTGATTTAAAAAATCCCTTTGAAGTTCTAAAATTAAAAATAGGCTTTTAAAACATTATAAATTTACTCTCATTCACATAATTTAAAATTAAATTTAAAATAAAATAGAATAATATCTATCTCAAGTTTCAAACAAAATCTTGTAAAAAAAGACCTAGATGACAACTGTTGGTGTCCACTTGAACTTAAATTTGGAACAATAAAATCATCTCACTCAAATCATCATCTCATAAGGAGGTTCACAAATATGTCTTAGAATTGATCCCAGAACATGACCAAATTATAAAACGGAAATACACTTTTAGTATTTAATGACAAAAAGTTTCAAACTGGTAGATTATGGAAAACCATGTCTTTTAACATGTCTTTCTGTCAACCTAACTTCTCAAAAAAGTAGTTGTCGACTTCACAGTGGTTCTTTCCAGCTCTCTGTCAATGAATTTGTTTGACAATGGGGAACGCACTTGATTGTCAGCAGTTTCTCAATACGGCCTTATGGGATGGACACTTGGCTCAACATTGGCTTTGTCATTCTCCAGTTCAGATCATCCGATTCATTCCATGTTGTTAAAATTTTTGCAGATTGCTCAAATTCTGCTCACAATTCCCTTTTCTTATGCACAAGCAGGCCTGCCCTCCTCAATAGCATTTCAGGTCTGGTGGGGAGGCTACATGATTAACATTCTCTACTTGACGTATTGAGAGAAGCACAACCTTCCGCTCGCACACAACCGAAAGTGCAATACTCAGGTAGATTCTACTTCTAGTACTAAATTGGTGATATGTTTTCTTCTTTTGCAGCTGCATGAGGTGTTGGGTGGGCTTCTAGGCAAATGGTGGAGTGTGGCAACTCTTGTCGTGATGGTGCCGTTTTTGTTCGTTGTGTGTGTTATTGAGCTTTCTGGCTGTAGCAAGTAAGTGATTTATTTTTGTCTTTGCCTTATTCTGCTTATAACTTGCAGTATGTCAATATGGCAGCATTGTCTTCGAAATAAATGATCAATTTCCGAAAAGAACATGGACTGTGATATTTGGCGCCCTCTTCTCCCTGTCCATTATTATGCCATCCGCTCAAAACTACAGAGCTTGGTCTTTTGTGGGCGTCATTGCGACTGTATATACTTCATGTTACCAGGTAACATGAAGTATGGGGGGTTGCAGCACTATTCCATGGAAAGGCAAGTGTTTCTATATTCTCATTCAGTACTAGCTAGTATCATCACCTTCGTCGTGCAGGTCTCAGATGTTCAGTCTCTTGCTCCCCGTGGCTATACAGGATATTTTAGTGCTCTCAGCAATTTTTTGGCAGTTGGAACAGAGATAATACCTGTGTAAGTATTTTTGAAGCGATTTATAGAACTTTAAACTTCGATTTTCCAGGGAACTCATGGACGCAATGTGGAAACCGGAAGACTTCAAAATTCCCTGGTTTTATGGTACGATTTATGTTTGTATGGTGACTATGCCAGCAAGCATGACTGTCTATGGGATTTTTGGCGCCGAGACGTTGGTACATCCGTCTGCTTTGATGTTGTTTCCAAAATCAAAGTTTCGGGACATTGCAATAGTTTTGATGCTTTTGCACCAGGCAAGCTTTTATAGTAAAATTTCCGTCTCGATATGGACCTGACAAGCTGTTGTCTGCAGTTCATCGTGTTTGGGATTCTGAGCTCGCCACTCTACTTGTTCTGCGAAAAGTTCTTCCGGGTCCACAACTCAAAGGAGAACTTTGGTGAGAGTACCTGTGTTTCTAGCAATCTGGCTAGCCACTCTTGCATTCCCATTCCTTCAAGTCGCAGCGGCTACTGCCATTTTCGGCATATTTGTCATTCCTTGCACTGCCTACATTGTGATATTCTGGGAGAAAGCTTTGAGTGATGTAAGTTAAGACTGCTTCCTGCGGCACAATTTCTCATTCTTACTCCAGGTGCTCCAACCTGCCTTTCCAAAGTTGAGCTGGGAAACAACCTTCAGCGTCAACCTGAGGATCATAATCTGGATGGCAGCGATGAGTGGACTCGGACTATGGCCAGCATAGCAGCCTACTCCCGACAAGCTGGGGAAGTCGGCTTATTCACAAAATGTTACATGTGCAAGTCAGATGTACGATAAGCCACCACGACTACTTGCATTTGCCAACTGAGCACCTTCAGTAGCCGGTTGTAGAGAGACAGCTGATTATGTTTACGCGGGAACCCAAAATTTCAAAAACTTTGACCTACTTTCAAAACATTCATGAAATTTTTTGACAATGGTGAGAGGTAGTCAGAGCAACCCACAGACCCGAGGTCTGTTGCACCCATTTGCTTTGATGAGGGCCATTGTTCCTGCTGTAATATTAATCCCAGCCCACACCACAGAGTAGAAGAACTGGGATATGTCGTGACTGACTGCAATGTAAACCAAGTTAGAGCATTTTGGCATTGTGGTCGAGTTTTGGTTCGCTTACCTTGATGCAACAATAGGGTGGTCATGGTTATACTGGTGAGCTTCACAGCAGGGCTTGCAAACGGAAGATACTGCAAGCGTGACATGTTGCATCAGCATTGAACAATGACTTACAGCCAACGCCTCCAGTCCCTTCAGCTTGAATGGTGATGGCTTGCTGTAGTAGCCTGCAACAAGATCCATAGCGTCCTGTACATTTTCATTTTTATCATTTTCCTAAAACTTGTTGTGACTTGAGGGTTGGAAATGCATGTACCTGTCTGATGCCATCTGTAAAATAGTTAAAGAACTAGTGAGTAAGGGCGTTGAAGCCATCACGAATGAGGCCAAATACAGTATCCTTTGTTAGAAAATATTCCACCTCTTCAAGAATAAGATAGAAAAACTTGAATAGGCATAATCACTCATAGTATAAAAGACAATAAGATAATATAAAGTAATAAAGTTCATTGCATCTGTCTGCAGCATAATGTAGTGGTGCTTTTTTGTTAGTTGATTGTTATAGTTATGGCATGCAATTCGTAAAAGGGTGGATTTTACAACAGTGGATTTCACTTACACCACGTGTATGCTTGCTATTGGTCCACATGTATTATGAGTGTGAAAAAAACACAGACATAGAATATTTTACAAATATCCAATCCTTATGCCCTAGATGGGGCATCATGCCCATAGCAATGACCCATGCTATGTATGGAATGGAGCCATTCATGGCCCATAGACTCATTCATCCCATGCATTCTAGTAAGTTGTTAATGTTGCAAACCAAATGGACAATCAACTAAATTGCATACCATACTACTTTATTTAGAGCACTATGTTCTCACATCTTGCTCTTTTCACTCATGGCAAAAGAACTAATTATCCTTTTTTGGCACATCTCTTTTAACATAGTGTTCATAGCAAGCGTAAGTGAATTCCATTTAGCTCCATTGCAAAGCCATGGATATATACTATCTGGAGTCATGTCTCTAATGCATCCCATTGAGTTTATTTTTTGTTGCCATTGATTTCCAATGTAACTTTC